AGGTGAGTGGTGCGCAGAGCAGGTGAGTGGTGCGGCAGAGCAGGTGAGTGGGTGCGGCAGAGGCAGGTGCAGTGGTGCAGCAGAGCAGGTGAGTGGTGCGCAGAGCAGGTGAGTGGTGCGCAGAGCAGGTGAGTGGTGCGGCAGAGCAGGTGAGTGGTGCGCAGAGCAGGTGAGTGGTGCAGGCAGAGCAGGTGAGTGGTGCGGCAGAGCAGGTGAGTGGTGCGGCAGAGCAGGTGAGTGGTGCGGCAGAGCAGGTGAGTGGTGCGGCAGAGCAGGTGAGTGGTGCGGCAGAGCAAGGTGAGTGGTGCGGCAGAGCAGGTGAGTGGTGCGGCAGAGCAGGTGAGTGGTGCGGCAGAGCAGGTGAGTGGTGCGGCAGAGCAGGTGAGTGGTGCGCAGAGCAGGTGAGTGGTGCGGCAGAGCAGGTGAGTGGTGCGGCAGAGCAGGTGAGTGGTGCGGCAGAGCAGGTGAGTGTGTGCAGCAGCGCAGGTGAGTGGTGCGCAGAGCAGGGGAGTGGTGCGGCAGAGCAGGTGAGTGGTGCGGCAGAGCAGGTGAGTGGTGCGGCAGAGCAGGTGAGTGGTGCGGCAGAGCAGGTGAGTGGTGCAGCAGAGCAGGTGAGTGGTGCGGCAGAGCAGGTGAGTGGTGCGGCAGAGCAGGTGAGTGGTGCGGCAGAGCAGGTGAGTGGTGCGGCAGAGCAGGTGAGTGGTGCAGCAGAGCAGGTGAGTGGTGCGGCAGAGCAGGTGAGTGGTGCGGCAGAGCAGGTGAGTGGTGCGGCAGAGCAGGTGAGTGGTGCGGCAGAGCAGGTGAGTGGTGCGGCAGAGCAGGTGAGTGGTGCGGCAGAGCAGGTGAGTGGTGCGGCAGAGCAGGTGAGTGGTGCGGCAGAGCAGGTGAGTGGTGCGGCAGAGCAGGTGAGTGGTGCGGCAGAGCAGGTGAGTGGTGCGGCAGAGCAGGTGAGTGGTGCGGCAGAGCAGGTGAGTGGTGCGGCAGAGCAGGTGAGTGGTGCGGCAGAGCAGGTGAGTGGTGCGGCAGAGCTAAGGGTGAGTGGTGCGGCAAGAGCAGGTGAGTGGTGCGGCAGAGCAGGTGAGTGGTGCGGCAGAGCAGGTGAGTGGTGCGGCAGAGCAGGTGAGTGGTGCGGCAGAGCAGGTGAGTGGTGCGGCAGAGCAGGTGAGTGGTGCGGCAGAGCAGGTGAGTGGTGCGGCAGAGCAGGTGAGTGGTGCGGCAGACGAGGTGAGTTGTGCGGAAGAAGGTGAGTGGTGCGGCAGAGCAGGTGAGTGGTGCGGCAGAGCAGGTGAGTGGTGCGGCAGAGCAGGTGAGTGGTGCGGCAGAGCAGGTGAGTGGTGCGGCAGAGCAGTGTGAGTGGTGCGGCAGAGCAGGTGAGTGGTGCGGCAGAGCAGGTGAGTGGTGCGGCAGAGCAGGGTGAGTGGTGCGGCACAGAGGGCAGGTGCAGTGGTGCGGCAGAGCAGGTGAGTGGTGCGGCAGAGCAGGTGCAGTGGTGCGGCAGAGCAGGGTGAGTGGGTGCGGCAGAGCAGGTGAGTGGTGCGGCAGAGCAGGTGAGTGGTGCGGCAGAGCAGGTTGAGTGGTGCGCAGAGCAGCAGAGCAGGTGAGTGGTGCAGCAGAGCAGGTGAGTGGTGCAGCAGAGCAGGTGAGTGGTGCAGCAGAGCAGGTGAGTGGTGCGGCAGAGCAGGTGAGTGGTGCGGCAGAGCAGGTGAGTGGTGCGGCAGAGCAGGTGAGTGGTGCGGCAGAGCAGGTGAGTGGTGCGGCAGAGCAGGTGAGTGGTGCGGCAGAGCAGGTGAGTGGTGCGGCAGAGCAGGTGAGTGGTGCGGCAGAGCAGGTGAGTGGTGCGGCAGAGCAGGTGAGTGGTGCGGCAGAGCAGGTGAGTGGTGCAGCAGAGCAGGTGAGTGGTGCGGCAGAGCAGGTGAGTGGTGCGGCAGAGCAGGTGAGTGGTGCGGCAGAGCAGGTGAGTGGTGCAGCAGAGCAGGTGAGTGGTGCAGCAGAGCAGGTGAGTGGTGCGGCAGAGCAGGTGAGTGGTGCGGCAGAGCAGGTGAGTGGTGCGGCAGAGCAGGTGAGTGGTGCGGCAGAGCAGGTGAGTGGTGCGGCAGAGCAGGTGAGTGGTGCGGCAGAGCAGGTGAGTGGTGCGGCAGAGCAGGTGAGTGGTGCGGCAGAGCAGGTGAGTGGTGCGGCAGAGCAGGTGAGTGGTGCGGCAGAGCAGGTGAGTGGTGCGGCAGAGCAGGTGAGTGGTGCGGCAGAGCAGGTGAGTGGTGCGGCAGAGCAGGTGAGTGGTGCGGCAGAGCAGGTGAGTGGTGCGGCAGAGCAGGTGAGTGGTGCGGCAGAGCAGGTGAGTGGTGCGGCAGAGCAGGTGAGTGGTGCGGCAGAGCAGGTGAGTGGTGCGGCAGAGCAGGTGAGTGGTGCGGCAGAGCAGGTGAGTGGTGCGGCAGAGCAGGTGAGTGGTGCGGCAGAGCAGGTGAGTGGTGCGGCAGAGCAGGTGAGTGGTGCGGCAGAGCAGGTGAGTGGTGCGGCAGAGCAGGTGAGTGGTGCGGCAGAGCAGGTGAGTGGTGCGGCAGAGCAGGTGAGTGGTGCGGCAGAGCAGGTGAGTGGTGCGGCAGAGCAGGTGAGTGGTGCGGCAGAGCAGGTGAGTGGTGCGGCAGAGCAGGTGAGTGGTGCGGCAGAGCAGGTGAGTGGTGCGGCAGAGCAGGTGAGTGGTGCGGCAGAGCAGGTGAGTGGTGCAGCAGAGCAGGTGAGTGGTGCAGCAGAGCAGGTGAGTGGTGCAGCAGAGCAGGTGAGTGGTGCGGCAGAGCAGGTGAGTGGTGCGGCAGAGCAGGTGAGTGGTGCAGCAGAGCAGGTGAGTGGTGCAGCAGAGCAGGTGAGTGGTGCGGCAGAGCAGGTGAGTGGTGCGGCAGAGCAGGTGAGTGGTGCGGCAGAGCAGGTGAGTGGTGCGGCAGAGCAGGTGAGTGGTGCAGCAGAGCAGGTGAGTGGTGCAGCAGAGCAGGTGAGTGGTGCGGCAGAGCAGGTGAGTGGTGCGGCAGAGCAGGTGAGTGGTGCGGCAGAGCAGGTGAGTGGTGCGGCAGAGCAGGTGAGTGGTGCAGCAGAGCAGGTGAGTGGTGCGGCAGAGCAGGTGAGTGGTGCAGCAGAGCAGCTGAGTGGTGCGGCAGAGCAGGTGAGTGGTGCAGCAGAGCAGGTGAGTGGTGCGGCAGAGCAGGTGAGTGGTGCGGCAGAGCAGGTGAGTGGTGCGGCAGAGCAGGTGAGTGGTGCAGCAGAGCAGGTGAGTGGTGCGGCAGAGCAGGTGAGTTGTGCGGCAGAGCAGGTGAGTGGTGCGGCAGAGCAGGTGAGTGGTGCGGCAGAGCAGGTGAGTGGTGCAGCAGAGCTGGTGAGTGGTGCAGCAGAGCAGGTGAGTGGTGCGGCAGAGCAGGTGAGTGGTGCGGCAGAGCAGGTGAGTGGTGCGGCAGAGCAGGTGAGTGGTGCGGCAGAGCAGGTGAGTGGTGCGGCAGAGCAGGTGAGTGGTGCGGCAGAGCAGGTGAGTGGTGCGGCAGAGCAGGTGAGTGGTGCGGCAGAGCAGGTGAGTGGTGCGGCAGAGCAGGTGAGTGGTGCGGCAGAGCAGGTGAGTGGTGCGGCAGAGCAGGTGAGTGGTGCGGCAAAGCAGGTGAGTGGTGCGGCAGAGCAGGTGAGTGGTGCGGCAGAGCAGGTGAGTGGTGCGGCAGAGCAGGTGAGTGGTGCGGCAGAGCAGGTGAGTGGTGCGGCAGAGCAGGTGAGTGGTGCGGCAGAGCAGGTGAGTGGTGCAGCAGAGCAGGTGAGTGGTGCGGCAGAGCAGGTGAGTGGTGCGGCAGAGCAGGTGAGTGGTGCGGCAGAGCAGGTGAGTGGTGCGGCAGAGCAGGTGAGTGGTGCGGCAGAGCAGGTGAGTGGTGCGGCAGAGCAGGTGAGTGGTGCGGCAGAGCAGGTGAGTGGTGCGGCAGAGCAGGTGAGTGGTGCGGCAGAGCAGGTGAGTGGTGCGGCAGAGCAGGTGAGTGGTGCGGCAGAGCAGGTGAGTGGTGCGGCAGAGCAGGTGAGTGGTGCGGCAGAGCAGGTGAGTGGTGCGGCAGACAGGTGAGTGGTGCGGCAGAGCAGGTGAGTGGTGCGGCAGAGCAGGTGAGTGGTGCGGCAGAGCAGGTGAGTGGTGCGGCAGAGCAGGTGAGTGGTGCGGCAGAGCCGGTGAGTGGTGCGGCAGAGCAGGTGAGTGGTGCGGCAGAGCAGGTGAGTGGTGCGGCAGAGCAGGTGAGTGGTGCGGCAGAGCAGGTGAGTGGTGCGGCAGAGCAGGTGAGTGGTGCGGCAGAGCAGGTGAGTGGTGCGGCAGAGCAGGTGAGTGGTGCGGCAGAGCAGGTGAGTGGTGCGGCAGAGCAGGTGAGTGGTGCGGCAGAGCAGGTGAGTGGTGCGGCAGAGCAGGTGAGTGGTGCGGCAGAGCAGGTGAGTGGTGCGGCAGAGCAGGTGAGTGGTGCGGCAGAGCAGGTGAGTGGTGCGGCAGAGCAGGTGAGTGGTGCGGCAGAGCAGGTGAGTGGTGCGGCAGAGCAGGTGAGTGATGCGGCAGAGCAGGTGAGTGGTGCGGCAGAGCAGGTGAGTGGTGCGGCAGAGCAGGTGAGTGGTGCGGCAGAGCAGGTGAGTGGTGCGGCAGAGCAGGTGAGTGGTGCGGCAGAGCAGGTGAGTGGTGCGGCAGAGCAGGTGAGTGGTGCGGCAGAGCAGGTGAGTGGTGCGGCAGAGCAGGTGAGTGGTGCGGCAGAGCAGGTGAGTGGTGCGGCAGAGCAGGTGAGTGGTGCGGCAGAGCAGGTGAGTGGTGCGGCAGAGCAGGTGAGTGGTGCGGCAGAGCAGGTGAGTGGTGCGGCAGAGCAGGTGAGTGGTGCGGCAGAGCAGGTGAGTGGTGCGGCAGAGCAGGTGAGTGGTGCAGCAGAGCAGGTGAGTGGTGCGGCAGAGCAGGTGAGTGGTGCAGCAGAGCAGGTGAGTTGTGCGGCAGAGCATCACATGGCAGCATTGCTGCTTGGATGGTCTCATGTAATCCGTTGCCGCATGGCAAGCATCTCATTGCGTCTCAGTCCTACATTCGAACCCACATGCCATCCCACATGGAGGGAACAGGAGATTTGATGACAGCATTGCTGCTTGGATGGTCACATGTGAGTGGGGCAGTTGCAGCACGGTGCTGCATCTCACAGTGCTGGTTACATTTCACAGTGCTGGTTACATTTCACAGTGCTGGTTACATTTCACAGTGCTGGTTACATCTCACAGTGCTAGTTACATTTCACAGTGCTGGTTACATCTCACAGTGCTGGTTACATCTCACAGTGCTGGTTACATCTCACAGTGCTGGTAACATCTCACAGTGCTGGTTACATCTCACAGTGCTGGTTACATCTGACAGTGCTGGTTACATCTCACAGTGCAGTGCTGGTTACATCTGATAGTGCTGGTTACATCTCACAGTGCTGGTTACATCTCACAGTGCTGGTTACATCTCACTCTTCTGGTTACATTGAGTCATTGACTCAATCTGCTCCTCATTCTCTCAGCTCCTCTCCTTCCATTCTCTCCCTCACACACTTTCCTTTCCCCCCTCTCTCCCTCTTTCCCTCCCTCCTTCCCTCCCTCTCTCCCTCTTTCCCTCCCTCCTTCCCTACATTGACTCAATCTGCTCCTTATTCTCTCAGCTCCTCTCCTTCCATTCTCTCCCTCACACACCTTCCATCCTCCCTCTCTCCCTCTTTCCCTCCCTCCTTCCCTCCCTCTCTCCCTCTTTCCCTCCCTCCTTCCCTCCCTCTCTCCCTCCTTTCATCAGAAGTATCCTCACGACTTGGCTAGAGCAGCGGAGCTAGCAGTGGCATCCCTACAGGTGAGCAGCTGCTGTTGCGCCTCGTGCTTGTGTTTGTTGATGCTCTGCTGTGTTTTCAATGTTTGTCTAGCTTTTCTGTTTCAACAGCAGAGCTGGCAGTGGCACTGGGCTGTCCATGGCTTTGTGTTTAAAAGAGATGTGGTGCAGCAGAGCAGGTGAGTGGTGCGGCAGAGCAGGTGAGTGGTGCGGCAGAGCAGGTGAGTGGTGCGGCAGAGCAGGTGAGTGGTGCGGCAGAGCAGGTGAGTGGTGCAGCAGAGCAGGTGAGTGGTGCGGCAGAGCAGGTGAGTGGTGCAGCAGAGCAGGTGAGTGGTGCGACAGAGCAGGTGAGTGGTGCAGCAGAGCAGGTGAGTGGTGCGGCAGAGCAGGTGAGTGGTGCGGCAGAGCAGGTGAGTGGTGCAGCAGAGCAGGTGAGTGGTGCGACAGAGCAGGTGAGTGGTGCGGCAGAGCAGGTGAGTGGTGCGGCAGAGCAGGTGAGTGGTGCGGCAGAGCAGGTGAGTGGTGCAGCAGAGCAGGTGAGTGGTGCGGCAGAGCAGGTGAGTGGTGCGGCAGAGCAGGTGAGTGGTGCAGCAGAGCAGGTGAGTGGTGCGGCAGAGCAGGTGAGTGGTGCGACAGAGCAGGTGAGTGGTGCAGCAGAGCAGGTGAGTGGTGCGGCAGAGCAGGTGAGTGGTGCGGCAGAGCAGGTGAGTGGTGCGGCAGAGCAGGTGAGTGGTGCGGCAGAGCAGGTGAGTGGTGCGGCAGAGCAGGTGGGTGGTGCGGCAGAGCAGGTGAGTGGTGCGGCAGAGCAGGTGAGTGGTGCGGCAGAGCAGGTGAGTGGTGCGGCAGAGCAGGTGAGTGGTGCGGCAGAGCAGGTGGGTGGTGCGGCAGAGCAGGTGAGTGGTGCGGCAGAGCAGGTGAGTGGTGCAGCAGAGCAGGTGAGTGGTGCGGCAGAGCAGGTGAGTGGTGCGGCAGAGCAGGTGAGTGGTGCGGCAGAGCAGCTGAGTGGTGCGGCAGAGCAGGTGGGTGGTGCGGCAGAGCAGGTGAGTGGTGCGGCAGAGCAGGTGAGTGGTGCGGCAGAGCAGGTGAGTGGTGCAGCAGAGCAGCTGAGTGGTGCGGCAGAGCAGGTGAGTGGTGCGGCAGAGCAGGTGAGTGGTGCGGCAGAGCAGGTGAGTGGTGCAGCAGAGCAGGTGAGTGGTGCAGCAGAGCAGGTGAGTGGTGCGGCAGAGCAGGTGAGTGGTGCGGCAGAGCAGGTGAGTGGTGCGGCAGAGAAGGTGAGTGGTGCGGCAGAGCAGGTGAGTGGTGCGGCAGAGCAGGTGAGTGGTGCGGCAGAGCAGGTGAGTAGTGCGGCAGAGCAGGTGAGTGGTGCGGCAGAGCAGGTGAGTGGTGCGGCAGAGCAGGTGAGTGGTGCAGCAGAGCAGGTGACTGGTGCGGCAGAGCAGGTGAGTGGTGCAGCAGAGCAGGTGACTGGTGCGGCAGAGCAGGTGAGTGGTGCAGCAGAGCAGGTGAGTGGTGCAGCAGAGCAGGTGAGTGGTGCAGCAGAGCAGGTGAGTGGTGCAGCAGAGCAGGTGAGTGGTGCGGCAGAGCAGGTGAGTGGTGCAGCAGAGCAGGTGAGTGGTGCAGCAGAGCAGGTGAGTGGTGCAGCAGAGCAGGTGAGTGGTGCATCAGAGCAGGTGAGTGGTGCAGCAGAGCAGGTGAGTGGTGCAGCAGAGCAGGTGAGTGGTGCAGCAGAGCAGGTGAGTGGTGCAGCAGAGCAGGTGAGTGGTGCGGCAGAGCAGGTGAGTGGTGCAGCAGAGCAGGTGAGTGGTGCAGCAGAGCAGGTGAGTGGTGCAGCAGAGCAGGTGAGTGGTGCAGCAGAGCAGGTGAGTAGTGCGGCAGAGCAGGTGAGTGGTGCAGCAGAGCAGGTGAGTGGTGCGGCAGAGCAGGTGAGTGGTGCAGCAGAGCAGGTGAGTGGTGCGGCAGAGCAGGTGAGTGGTGCGGCAGAGCAGGTGAGTGGTGCAGCAGAGCAGGTGAGTGGTGCGGCAGAGCAGGTGAGTGGTGCAGCAGAGCAGGTGAGTGGTGCAGCAGAGCAGGTGAGTGGTGCGGCAGAGCAGGTGAGTGGTGCAGCAGAGCAGGTGAGTGGTGCGGCAGAGCAGGTGAGTGGTGCGGCAGAGCAGGTGAGTGGTGCGGCAGAGCAGGTGAGTGGTGCGGCAGAGCAGGTGAGTGGTGCGGCAGAGCAGGTGAGTGGTGCGGCAGAGCAGGTGAGTGGTGCGGCAGAGCAGGTGAGTGGTGCGGCAGAGCAGGTGAGTGGTGGGGCAGAGCAGGTGAGTGGTGCGGCAGAGCAGGTGAGTGGTGCGGCAGAGCAGGTGAGTGGTGCGGCAGAGCAGGTGAGTGGTGCGGCAGAGCAGGTGAGTGGTGCAGCAGAGCAGGTGAGTGGTGCAGCAGAGCAGGTGAGTGGTGCAGCAGAGCAGGTGAGTGGTGCAGCAGAGCAGGTGAGTGGTGCAGCAGAGCAGGTGAGTGGTGCAGCAGAGCAGGTGAGTGGTGCGGCAGAGCAGGTGAGTGGTGCAGCAGAGCAGGTGAGTGGAGCGGCAGAGCAGGTGAGTGGTGCAGCAGAGCAGGTGAGTGGTGCAGCAGAGCAGGTGAGTGGTGCAGCAGAGCAGGTGAGTGGTGCGGCAGAGCAGGTGAGTGGTGCAGCAGAGCAGGTGAGTGGAGCGGCAGAGCAGGTGAGTGGTGCAGCAGAGCAGGTGAGTGGTGCAGCAGAGCAGGTGAGTGGTGCAGCAGAGCAGGTGAGTGGTGCAGCAGAGCAGGTGAGTGGTGCAGCAGAGCAGGTGAGTGGTGCAGCAGAGCAGGTGAGTGGTGCAGCAGAGCAGGTGAGTGGTGCGGCAGAGCAGGTGAGTGGTGCAGCAGAGCAGGTGAGTGGTGCGGCAGAGCAGGTGAGTGGTGCAGCAGAGCAGGTGAGTGGTGCAGCAGAGCAGGTGAGTGGTGCAGCAGAGCAGGTGAGTGGTGCGGCAGAGCAGGTGAGTGGTGCAGCAGAGCAGGTGAGTGGAGCGGCAGAGCAGGTGAGTGGTGCGGCAGAGCAGGTGAGTGGTGCAGCAGAGCAGGTGAGTGGTGCGGCAGAGCAGGTGAGTGGTGCAGCAGAGCAGGTGAGTGGTGCGGCAGAGCAGGTGAGTGGTGCAGCAGAGCAGGTGAGTGGTGCAGCAGAGCAGGTGAGTGGTGCGGCAGAGCAGGTGAGTGGTGCAGCAGAGCAGGTGAGTGGTGCGGCAGAGCAGGTGAGTGGTGCGGCAGAGCAGGTGAGTGGTGCGGCAGAGCAGGTGAGTGGTGCGGCAGAGCAGGTGAGTGGTGCAGCAGAGCAGGTGAGTGGTGCAGCAGAGCAGGTGAGTGGTGCAGCAGAGCAGGTGAGTGGTGCGGCAGAGCAGGTGAGTGGTGCAGCAGAGCAGGTGAGTGGTGCAGCAGAGCAGGTGAGTGGTGCGGCAGAGCAGGTGAGTGGTGCGGCAGAGCAGGTGAGTGGTGCAGCAGAGCAGGTGAGTGGTGCGGCAGAGCAGGTGAGTGGTGCGGCAGAGCAGGTGAGTGGTGCAGCAGAGCAGGTGAGTGGTGCAGCAGAGCAGGTGAGTGGTGCAGCAGAGCAGGTGAGTGGTGCGGCAGAGCAGGTGAGTGGTGCAGCAGAGCAGGTGAGTGGTGCGGCAGAGCAGGTGAGTGGTGCGGCAGAGCAGGTGAGTGGTGCAGCAGAGCAGGTGAGTGGTGCAGCAGAGCAAGTGAGTGGTGCAGCAGAGCAGGTGAGTGGTGCGGCAGAGCAGGTGAGTGGTGCAGCAGAGCAGGTGAGTGGTGCGGCAGAGCAGGTGAGTGGTGCGGCAGAGCAGGTGAGTGGTGCAGCAGAGCAGGTGAGTGGTGCAGCAGAGCAGGTGAGTGGTGCAGCAGAGCAGGTGAGTGGTGCAGCAGAGCAGGTGAGTGGTGCGGCAGAGCAGGTGAGTGGTGCAGCAGAGCAGGTGAGTGGTGCGGCAGAGCAGGTGAGTGGTGCAGCAGAGCAGGTGAGTGGAGCGGCAGAGCAGGTGAGTGGTGCGGCAGAGCAGGTGAGTGGTGCAGCAGAGCAGGTGAGTGGTGCGGCAGAGCAGGTGAGTGGTGCAGCAGAGCAGGTGAGTGGTGCAGCAGAGCAGGTGAGTGGTGCGGCAGAGCAGGTGAGTGGTGCAGCAGAGCAGGTGAGTGGTGCGGCAGAGCAGGTGAGTGGTGCGGCAGAGCAGGTGAGTGGTGCGGCAGAGCAGGTGAGTGGTGCGGCAGAGCAGGTGAGTGGTGCAGCAGAGCAGGTGAGTGGTGCGGCAGAGCAGGTGAGTGGTGCGGCAGAGCAGGTGAGTGGTGCAGCAGAGCAGGTGAGTGGTGCGGCAGAGAAGGTGAGTGGTGCGGCAGAGCAGGTGAGTGGTGCAGCAGAGCAGGTGAGTGGTGCAGCAGAGCAGGTGAGTGGTGCAGCAGAGCAGGTGAGTGGTGCAGCAGAGTAGGTGAGTGGTGCGGCAGAGCAGGTGAGTGGTGCAGCAGAGCAGGTGAGTGGTGCAGCAGAGCAGGTGAGTGGTGCGGCAGAGCAGGTGAGTGGTGCGGCAGAGCAGGTGAGTGGTGCAGCAGAGCAGGTGAGTGGTGCGGCAGAGCAGGTGAGTGGTGCGGCAGAGCAGGTGAGTGGTGCAGCAGAGCAGGTGAGTGGTGCAGCAGAGCAGGTGAGTGGTGCGGCAGAGCAGGTGAGTGGTGCAGCAGAGCAGGTGAGTGGTGCGGCAGAGCAGGTGAGTGGTGCGGCAGAGCAGGTGAGTGGTGCAGCAGAGCAGGTGAGTGGTGCGGCAGAGCAGGTGAGTGGTGCGGCAGAGCAGGTGAGTGGTGCGGCAGAGCAGGTGAGTGGTGCGGCAGAGCAGGTGAGTGGTGCGGCAGAGCAGGTGAGTGGTGCGGCAGAGCAGGTGAGTGGTGCGGCAGAGCAGGTGAGTGGTGCGGCAGAGCAGGTGAGTGGTGCGGCAGAGCAGGTGAGTGGTGCGGCAGAGCAGGTGAGTGGTGCGGCAGAGCAGGTGAGTGGTGCGGCAGAGCAGGTGAGTGGTGCAGCAGAGCAGGTGAGTGGTGCGGCAGAGCAGGTGAGTGGTGCGGCAGAGCAGGTGAGTGGTGCGGCAGAGCAGGTGAGTGGTGCGGCAGAGCAGGTGAGTGGTGCGGCAGAGCAGGTGAGTGGTGCGGCAGAGCAGGTGAGTGGTGCGGCAGAGCAGGTGAGTGGTGCGGCAGAGCAGGTGAGTGGTGCGGCAGAGCAGGTGAGTGGTGCGGCAGAGCAGGTGAGTGGTGCGGCAGAGCAGGTGAGTGGTGCGGCAGAGCAGGTGAGTGGTGCAGCAGAGCAGGTGAGTGGTGCGGCAGAGCAGGTGAGTGGTGCGGCAGAGCAGGTGAGTGGTGCGGCAGAGCAGGTGAGTGGTGCGGCAGAGCAGGTGAGTGGTGCGGCAGAGCAGGTGAGTGGTGCGGCAGAGCAGGTGAGTGGTGCGGCAGAGCAGGTGAGTGGTGCGGCAGAGCAGGTGAGTGGTGCGGCAGAGCAGGTGAGTGGTGCGGCAGAGCAGGTGAGTGGTGCGGCAGAGCAGGTGAGTGGTGCGGCAGAGCAGGTGAGTGGTGCGGCAGAGCAGGTGAGTGGTGCGGCAGAGCAGGTGAGTGGTGCGGCAGAGCAGGTGAGTGGTGCGGCAGAGCAGGTGAGTGGTGCGGCAGAGCAGGTGAGTGGTGCGGCAGAGCAGGTGAGTGGTGCGGCAGAGCAGGTGAGTGGTGCGGCAGAGCAGGTGAGTGGTGCGGCAGAGCAGGTGAGTGGTGCGGCAGAGCAGGTGAGTGGTGCGGCAGAGCAGGTGAGTGGTGCGGCAGAGCAGGTGAGTGGTGCGGCAGAGCAGGTGAGTGGTGCGGCAGAGCAGGTGAGTGGTGCGGCAGAGCAGGTGAGTGGTGCGGCAGAGCAGGTGAGTGGTGCGGCAGAGCAGGTGAGTGGTGCGGCAGAGCAGGTGAGTGGTGCGGCAGAGCAGGTGAGTGGTGCGGCAGAGCAGGTGAGTGGTGCGGCAGAGCAGGTGAGTGGTGCGGCAGAGCAGGTGAGTGGTGCGGCAGAGCAGGTGAGTGGTGCGGCAGAGCAGGTGAGTGGTGCGGCAGAGCAGGTGAGTGGTGCGGCAGAGCAGGTGAGTGGTGCGGCAGAGCAGGTGAGTGGTGCAGCAGAGCAGGTGAGTGGTGCGGCAGAGCAGGTGAGTGGTGCAGCAGAGCAGGTGAGTGGTGCAGCAGAGCAGGTGAGTGGTGCGGCAGAGCAGGTGAGTGGTGCAGCAGAGCAGGTGAGTGGTGCGGCAGAGCAGGTGAGTGGTGCAGCAGAGCAGGTGAGTGGTGCGGCAGAGCAGGTGAGTGGTGCGGCAGAGCAGGTGAGTGGTGCAGCAGAGCAGGTGAGTGGTGCGGCAGAGCAGGTGAGTGGTGCAGCAGAGCAGGTGAGTGGTGCAGCAGAGCAGGTGAGTGGTGCGGCAGAGCAGGTGAGTGGTGCGGCAGAGCAGGTGAGTGGTGCGGCAGAGCAGGTGAGTGGTGCGGCAGAGCAGGTGAGTGGTGCGGCAGAGCAGGTGAGTGGTGCGGCAGAGCAGGTGAGTGGTGCGGCAGAGCAGGTGAGTGGTGCGGCAGAGCAGGTGAGTGGTGCGGCAGAGCAGGTGAGTGGTGCGGCAGAGCAGGTGAGTGGTGCGGCAGAGCAGGTGAGTGGTGCGGCAGAGCAGGTGAGTGGTGCGGCAGAGCAGGTGAGTGGTGCGGCAGAGCAGGTGAGTGGTGCGGCAGAGCAGGTGAGTGGTGCGGCAGAGCAGGTGAGTGGTGCGGCAGAGCAGGTGAGTGGTGCGGCAGAGCAGGTGAGTGGTGCGGCAGAGCAGGTGAGTGGTGCGGCAGAGCAGGTGAGTGGTGCGGCAGAGCAGGTGAGTGGTGCGGCAGAGCAGGTGAGTGGTGCAGCAGAGCAGGTGAGTGGTGCGGCAGAGCAGGTGAGTGGTGCGGCAGAGCAGGTGAGTGGTGCGGCAGAGCAGGTGAGTGGTGCGGCAGAGCAGGTGAGTGGTGCGGCAGAGCAGGTGAGTGGTGCGGCAGAGCAGGTGAGTGGTGCGGCAGAGCAGGTGAGTGGTGCGGCAGAGCAGGTGAGTGGTGCGGCAGAGCAGGTGAGTGGTGCGGCAGAGCAGGTGAGTGGTGCGGCAGAGCAGGTGAGTGGTGCGGCAGAGCAGGTGAGTGGTGCGGCAGAGCAGGTGAGTGGTGCGGCAGAGCAGGTGAGTGGTGCGGCAGAGCAGGTGAGTGGTGCGGCAGAGCAGGTGAGTGGTGCGGCAGAGCAGGTGAGTGGTGCGGCAGAGCAGGTGAGTGGTGCGGCAGAGCAGGTGAGTGGTGCGGCAGAGCAGGTGAGTGGTGCGGCAGAGCAGGTGAGTGGTGCGGCAGAGCAGGTGAGTGGTGCGGCAGAGCAGGTGAGTGGTGCGGCAGAGCAGGTGAGTGGTGCGGCAGAGCAGGTGAGTGGTGCGGCAGAGCAGGTGAGTGGTGCGGCAGAGCAGGTGAGTGGTGCGGCAGAGCAGGTGAGTGGTGCGGCAGAGCAGGTGAGTGGTGCGGCAGAGCAGGTGAGTGGTGCGGCAGAGCAGGTGAGTGGTGCGGCAGAGCAGGTGAGTGGTGCGGCAGAGCAGGTGAGTGGTGCGGCAGAGCAGGTGAGTGGTGCGGCAGAGCAGGTGAGTGGTGCGGCAGAGCAGGTGAGTGGTGCGGCAGAGCAGGTGAGTGGTGCGGCAGAGCAGGTGAGTGGTGCGGCAGAGCAGGTGAGTGGTGCGGCAGAGCAGGTGAGTGGTGCGGCAGAGCAGGTGAGTGGTGCGGCAGAGCAGGTGAGTGGTGCGGCAGAGCAGGTGAGTGGTGCGGCAGAGCAGGTGAGTGGTGCGGCAGAGCAGGTGAGTGGTGCGGCAGAGCAGGTGAGTGGTGCGGCAGAGCAGGTGAGTGGTGCGGCAGAGCAGGTGAGTGGTGCGGCAGAGCAGGTGAGTGGTGCGGCAGAGCAGGTGAGTGGTGCGGCAGAGCAGGTGAGTGGTGCGGCAGAGCAGGTGAGTGGTGCGGCAGAGCAGGTGAGTGGTGCGGCAGAGCAGGTGAGTGGTGCGGCAGAGCAGGTGAGTGGTGCGGCAGAGCAGGTGAGTGGTGCGGCAGAGCAGGTGAGTGGTGCGGCAGAGCAGGTGAGTGGTGCGGCAGAGCAGGTGAGTGGTGCGGCAGAGCAGGTGAGTGGTGCGGCAGAGCAGGTGAGTGGTGCGGCAGAGCAGGTGAGTGGTGCGGCAGAGCAGGTGAGTGGTGCGGCAGAGCAGGTGAGTGGTGCGGCAGAGCAGGTGAGTGGTGCGGCAGAGCAGGTGAGTGGTGCGGCAGAGCAGGTGAGTGGTGCGGCAGAGCAGGTGAGTGGTGCGGCAGAGCAGGTGAGTGGTGCGGCAGAGCAGGTGAGTGGTGCGGCAGAGCAGGTGAGTGGTGCGGCAGAGCAGGTGAGTGGTGCGGCAGAGCAGGTGAGTGGTGCGGCAGAGCAGGTGAGTGGTGCGGCAGAGCAGGTGAGTGGTGCGGCAGAGCAGGTGAGTGGTGCGGCAGAGCAGGTGAGTGGTGCGGCAGAGCAGGTGAGTGGTGCGGCAGAGCAGGTGAGTGGTGCGGCAGAGCAGGTGAGTGGTGCGGCAGAGCAGGTGAGTGGTGCGGCAGAGCAGGTGAGTGGTGCGGCAGAGCAGGTGAGTGGTGCGGCAGAGCAGGTGAGTGGTGCGGCAGAGCAGGTGAGTGGTGCGGCAGAGCAGGTGAGTGGTGCGGCAGAGCAGGTGAGTGGTGCGGCAGAGCAGGTGAGTGGTGCGGCAGAGCAGGTGAGTGGTGCGGCAGAGCAGGTGAGTGGTGCGGCAGAGCAGGTGAGTGGTGCGGCAGAGCAGGTGAGTGGTGCGGCAGAGCAGGTGAGTGGTGCGGCAGAGCAGGTGAGTGGTGCGGCAGAGCAGGTGAGTGGTGCGGCAGAGCAGGTGAGTGGTGCGGCAGAGCAGGTGAGTGGTGCGGCAGAGCAGGTGAGTGGTGCGGCAGAGCAGGTGAGTGGTGCGGCAGAGCAGGTGAGTGGTGCGGCAGAGCAGGTGAGTGGTGCGGCAGAGCAGGTGAGTGGTGCGGCAGAGCAGGTGAGTGGTGCGGCAGAGCAGGTGAGTGGTGCGGCAGAGCAGGTGAGTGGTGCGGCAGAGCAGGTGAGTGGTGCGGCAGAGCAGGTGAGTGGTGCGGCAGAGCAGGTGAGTGGTGCGGCAGAGCAGGTGAGTGGTGCGGCAGAGCAGGTGAGTGGTGCGGCAGAGCAGGTGAGTGGTGCGGCAGAGCAGGTGAGTGGTGCGGCAGAGCAGGTGAGTGGTGCGGCAGAGCAGGTGAGTGGTGCGGCAGAGCAGGTGAGTGGTGCGGCAGAGCAGGTGAGTGGTGCGGCAGAGCAGGTGAGTGGTGCGGCAGAGCAGGTGAGTGGTGCGGCAGAGCAGGTGAGTGGTGCGGCAGAGCAGGTGAGTGGTGCGGCAGAGCAGGTGAGTGGTGCGGCAGAGCAGGTGAGTGGTGCGGCAGAGCAGGTGAGTGGTGCAGCAGAGCAGGTGAGTGGTGCAGAAGAGCCACTGACCGACCTACTGAAAAAGGATACGCCCTACAAATGGGATACTCCTCATCAGCAAGCCAAAGAGCAGCTACAGACAGCACTGACTACAGCGCCAGTACTCATCCTACCAGATCCAGACAAGGACTACGTGGTGGAAGCAGACGCTAGTGGCCAAGCAGTCGGAGCAGTACTGATGCAGGATCATGGACGCGGTTTGCAGCCCATCGCCTACCTCAGTAAGAAGCTACACGGAGCAGAACTGAACTACCCCATCCATGACAAGGAAGCCTTAGCGATTGTCATAGCCTTCAAGGCGTGGAGGTGTTACCTAGAGGGAGCCAAGATTACAGTCTATACTGACCACTGCAGTCTCAAATACCTGAAGTCGCAGCCAACGCTCTCACGACGACAGGTGCGGTGGATGGACTTCCTAGAAACTCACTTCCACTACGACATCGTCTTCAAGCCCGCGCTACAGAACAAAGCAGACGCGTTGAGCCGCCCTGGACATGTAGCAGGCATCCAGCTCGACGGGATGAACCCTTTGCTCAAGGGACTATTCCAACATGGGTACTCCGTGGACGCAGAGATCGCTATAGCACAGACAAAGAAGCTGTTACAGTGGGAGAAAGACTTAGCTGTAAGGAAGGGTTCAGAAGAGATTTGGGTACCGAATTACGCCCCGCTACGGCAGGTCCTCTTGGAGAAGTTTCACGACGTACCTTACGCGGGACATTTCGGGAGCAACAAGATGTTAGCAGGGATAGCGAAGTATTACTACTGGCCCGGGATGGCAGCAGGCGTGCAGCAGTTCGTCACCTCATGCGACACGTGCCAACGTATGAAGAGCAGCAAGCAGAAAAAAGCAGGGTTACTTCAACCTCTACCTGAACCGGAGCAGCCATGGCAGGTCGTTAGCCTCGACTTCATCACGGGACTTCCCTCGACCTCACGGGGACATGATTCCATCCTCGTAGTCATCGATAAGTTCTCCAAAATAGGTCACTTCATCCCGACCAACGCCACAGCTACAGCTGAAGCAACTGCTCGCCTCTTCTTTGACCGCATTCATCACCATTCACGGCATCCCCGCTACACTCATCTCAAACAGAGACCCCAAATTCACGAGTAAGTTCTGAAAGGAGCTCATGGGACTGTTGGGGACAAAACTTGCAATGTCTTCAGCATACCACCCCCAGACTGACGAACAGACCGAGCGACTCAATCAAGTGGTGAACAGTTACTGCGCACAGCTTGCAAAGACGGACGTCAGCCACTAGGACACACAGTTACCGACCCTAGAGTTCGCTCTACAACAACGTGTCACATGCTGGCCACAGGGAAAACTCCTTTCTTCCTGTGTTACGGGCGGGGAACCACTTACACCACAGCAGCCAACCACACCGGCACACGTCCAAGCTGCACATGACTTCGTCACCACCATGCAGCAGCTATGGGAGAAGACCCCAGCGACGATCTCACCACGATGCAGACCTCCCTGAAGCAGTATGCCGATCGTCAGCTACGAGATCACTTAGTAGCAGCGGAGATCAGGTGCTTCTTGATACGCGCAACTTGAACCTGTCTCACCTCCCATCCAAACTCCGGCCCTCGCTTCTGTGGCCTTTTCTCGTTGAGGGCACAGGTTGACACCAGTTACATTCCGCTTGCGCTTACCAGATACATGGAAGCTTCACAACGCTTTCCATGTCTCAGCTACTGAAACCCTATAAGGACCCGAACCAACAGTTCGAGGGACGGCAGCTACCGCCACCACCACCTATACTCATACAGGATGAACCAGAATACGAGATTGAGCGCGTTCTCTTTCATCGGCGCCGCGGCGGCAAGGGCCTCGAGTTCCTGATACGCTGGAAGGGATACGACCCCACTGAGGACAGTTGGGTTGCAGAAGCTGATATGGGCAACACACGCCGTGCTCTCAAGGACTATCTTGTCAAGCAGGGTGTTTCTCACGCCACCCAGCTTTGAGGGGGGGACGTGTGAGAGTACAATGGCTTATGCTGGCTTTGCTAGCTTGCCTAGACTTTATTTACGCTATATCTAGCTTGGGTTTTATTTATCATGCCTAGATATGCTTGATTTCCTAGGTTAGGTGCATTCCTATGTTTTATCTTAGTTATAGCACCGAACAAGTTGCGTGTACCGAACTCAAGCCTATTCGGTTTCCACCGAATCGCTTTCTACTGAGTTCGGGAAGGTTCTGTTCGGGAGGCTTCGCGACCCTCAGAACATTCGCGTTAACACCCTGGGTAACTGGCCTTGTGTCGAGACTATATATAGCCTTGTGTTGTACCCAGTTGAATCATTCAAGTACAATTCTCTTTTCTGAGCTCGATCCTAGATCCTCACACCATCGGTTCCAGTGCCTAAACCTCACAAGCACCCTAAGGTGTAAAGAAATGAGGGGGGAGGGGGTTTACCGGGGGAGGACCTGGCGCAAGGAAAGAGCGGCGGCGGGGGGAGGGGCGCAGTGCGGTAGGGGAAGAGACGGTAGTAAGGCACCGACTCGTCAAAGGTGACGTCCTGGTGAGGACAGAACACGGCGCGAGGTGGGGTGGTAAAACTGCCACCCAGGCGCGTCAGGGGGGAAGCCAAGGAAGACGCAGGGAACAGCACGGGGGGACCAGCTTGTCCGCAGACAAGTCGCGGACAAACGCCTGAGATCCCCAGACCCGAAACGCAGACGCATCGCCAACCTTCCCCGTCCACCGCAAGGTGGGTGGAGGTCTCTCGGCAAGGAGACCCGGGGCTGAAGGTTGAGCTGATGCGCTGCGTACTGAACCGTAAATGGGCCACTAGAAAATGGGGGGCAGCCGCATGGATCATGGACGTACGAGCGACGTCCATGACCATGCCAATGCGGCGCTCAGCAATCCCATTTTGCTGTCGAGAGGCCGGAAGCGTGAAGGTCTGGCGGATGCCCTATGCTTGACAGAAGGCTCCCAGGCGGGCACAGGAAAACTCCCCGCCTCTGTCAGAGTGCAGACGCAGAAGAGGAAAGTCCGAGCCGAAACTCTCTCTGAGTTGGAGACGAGCTGCGCGGATCTAGTCGATCAACACCTCAGTGACGTCACCCCTGCTGCGCAAGGGGAAGACTGTGGTGTAACGCGAGTTGTGGTCAACCACCAACAGGAAGTAACGCTCGTGCCCCTGGCCACGGACGCGGGCGGGGCCCCACACGTCCATGTGAAGAGTCTGCAGCGGAGCCTCTGTCCGAGGAAACTCGGAGGAGTGAGGGGCGGCGCGCTGTCGCCCCTCGACGCAGGGGACGCAGGTAGGGGCAGGCCCCGGAGGTAGGGGAGGGAGAGACCGGGGGAGACCAGAGACAAGGACACGGGAGGCCATGCCTCGGAGACGAGGCAGGGAGGGGTGACCAAGGCGGTGGTGCCAAAGGAGAGTCTGGTGGGACAGGAGACGACACGAGCAGGGAGCAGACTCAGGACCAGACCTAGACGCTGCAGCAAACACCTGACTCGACGCAGCTACCTAACCAGACTCAGCAGCCGGAGGAGACTCAGTAGTAAGTGTGTATAGGCTCGACCTCGGCCGACGGTGTGAACGTGGCCAAGTGTCGGCCTGTCTGAGCACACGTGCAGTGGGTCACCCGCTGACTCGCAGGAGTGAACTGGTCAACCCCCCTATCCTGTAGATCAGCACCACTCACCAAGTTCGTAGAGAACGAGGGGAGGTAGAGACCTGACAGGGTGCCAGAGGGGGCTGCCGGGCACGGTAAGACAGTGGAGAAGCTAGCAAGGATAGGATCCCCAGAGGGGTCCGCCAGGGAGACTGCAACCGGCCGACTAAGCGGCGTAAGCGTGGTGCGGTCTCGAAAGAAGGAGCGGGAAGCACCCGAGTCAAGGGTGAAGGTGTGTAAGGCCTGAGCGACGTAAGTACCTGAGAGAGCAGACTCACCAGCACCTGGGGCAGCAGACGCACTAGCACCTAGAGCAGCAGCCTCACCAACACCTAGAGCAGCAGCCTCAATGCTCGGGTCAGGCGGAACACACAGGTAACAGTCACCCTCAACACTATTAGACACAGCTGACATGGCAGCAAGAATAGCATCATAATCAAGATCAAAGATAGCAACCCCCGCCCTAGACAGCTCTCCCCAGCAAGGGATCTCAGAGGCGTCAGGGAACTGGTGACGCCACGCGTACGTCAGGCGGCCGAAGCAGCGCTGGGTGGAGTGCGGGCCCCCGCACTGCTCACCAGCGCGGTCGCCGATACGGAGGACGTAGGTGCAGGTGACCAGTACCCCCACCGCGCTGACGCGCAGCGTACCACTCACGAAGCTGCTGAGGGGACAGGGTCTCACGACTGCGCTGCTGCTGCTGGCGCGGACCGCCACCGGACCCACTCCTCTGCGCAGAGCCGCGACCAGCTCACACCGCTGCCGCCGCCTCCTCCGCCCACCTCCGTCGCCTCCGCCACCTCCGCCGCCTCCGCCACCTCCGCCGCCTCCGCTCCCTCCGCCACCGCCGCCGCCTCCTCCGCCCTCCACTGCTGCCACCGACACCTCCACCCCCGCCACCACTCCCACCACCACCCCCACCCCCCTCCACTGCCTTAACCACCACCTACATCGCCCCCGCCAGGCTCTTTAGCGCCCTTGCCCCCCCTTGCCCTTGCCGGTGCAGCGTCTTCCCCGCTAGGGGTAGACGCAGCGCGACCGACTCGAAAACCAACGAGGTCGGCCCCGCAGCAGCAGAAGCAACAGAGGGCAAGAGGGGGGAAGGGGAACACCCCTCAAAGACGGTGGGTGCGAGGGTCACCACGAGAGGCTCCTACAGCGACTATGCTCTTCTCTGCTTCTAGGAGGCGCTCCTCGAGGAGGTCAACGGTGAGTGTGGTGGGGCAAACTGAGAGGAAGTGGTCCCTGACTAAGCGAAGGGAGTCAGGGAGCCGGGTGACTATGTAGTAGAGGGTGATGTACATAGGGGGGGGGTTCTTGGCGCAGAACTCAGCAGGAAGCGCAGCGCGGTAGCGGGTGTCACTAGTGCGAAGGTGCGTAACGAGGTCAGCGACAGTGGGAAAGGTGGCGAGGTCAGGAAACAGGTACGGCAGCATGAGGTGGCTAAGGGCAGCAGTGGCAGGGGAAGAGGTAGCGTCGCAACTACAGCATCGTAGAAGGTCTTAGCACTCTTGTACTGACTAAAGTGCGCACGCTAAGCGGTCGGTAAGTGGCGACGCACAGCAAGACGGGCAAGCAGCCTCGCGCGTGGCCCACTGTGAGCGAAAAGTGCTGTCAGCATGAGCCGGCGGGGCAAGAGAGGCACCAGAGGTGAGATCAAACAGGGGAGAGTCCGTCTGCCCTATCGCACTGTATGGAAAAGCTGCAGGTCATCGACCCCAGACCTCGAAGTCAACAGCACGACCCTCAGTATCAAAGGTAAGGACACTCGGGGTAGCCCATGAGAGCAGTGGTCTAGCAGGGAGGGCTCTCACCAGACCGGGTGGGTAGAGCCGGGGCGCAGCCGGGAGGAGCAGGGCTGCAACAACGGTGGCAGCGGCTCTCGGCAGTGACAGTGGCGGCTCGACGGCCAGCTGCTCGGCGGCTCGGCTGTCGGGCGGCTCGGCGGCTCGGTTGCTGGGCGGCTCGGCGGCATTGGCGGCTCGGCTGCTGGGCGGCTCGGCGGCTCTCGGCGGCTCGGCTGCTGGGCGGCTCGGCGGCTCGGCTGTTGGGCGGCTCAGCTGCTAGGTGGCTCTGGTAGAGACGGCGACGGGGCCGGGGTAGAGGCGGCGACGGGGCCGGCAGAGGCGGCGATGGGGCCGGCTAGGGGCAGCGACGGGGCCGCGTAGGGAGGGGGGAAGCAGCAACGGGGCCGCCAGGGGCGACTACGGGGCCGCGTAGGGGCGGCGACGGGGCCGCGTAGGGGCGGCGACGAGGCCGCGTAGTGGCGGCGACGGGGCACGCGTAGGGAGGGGAGCGGCGACGGGGCCGCTAGGGGCAGCGACGGGGCCGCGTAGGGGCGGCGAAGGGGCCGCGTAGGGGCGGCGACGAGGCCGCGTAAGTGGCGGCGACGGGCCGCTACGCGTAGGAAGGGGAGCGGCGACGGGGCCGCTAGGGGCGGCGACGGGGCCGCGTAGGGGCGGCGACGGGGCCGCGTAGGTAGAGAGGCGGCGACGGGGCCGCTAGGGGTGGCGACGGCGGCCGCCGTAGGGGCGGCGACGGGTCCGCTAGGGGCGGCGACGGGGCCGCGTAGGGGCGGCGACGGGGCCGCGTCGTAGGGGCGGCGACGGGGACCGCGTAGGGAGAGAGGCGGCGCGAGGCCGCTAGGGGCGGCGACGGGGCCGCTAGGGCGGCGACGGGGCCGCGTAGGGGCGGCGACGAGGTCGCTAGGGGCCGCGAGGGGCCTGGAAGGGCGGCGAACAAGGCGCGCCTCGGCAGGAGCGACTGACGCTCCCGGTCAGAAAAAAAGTTCAGTGGTGGGCCCAAGGAAGCGTTCCCACTAGGGAACCTGCTCTATACCATGTAAAGAAATGAGGAATGAATGAACTAGCAAGCATTGAACTGCTCCAGCTGGCCGCATTGATCTGCAATGTCATCGGCTTTCGTGTGTTTTTCGAGGTGTCGCCTTCAAGCCCAGCGCGTCACCCACGGTACCCAAGTGATGACGCGCCCCCCTGCGTCCAGGTTCGTCTGACGTTCACGCCTTTGCTGATGGGGAGAAACTCGATCTTGGTCGTCAGGATCTGGATGTCATCCTCGATAACTGATATCTTCTCCTTCTGGGCGAGCAACTCTTGCCGCATGTCTACCGGTCGGTCAATGCATATATAACCATCGTCGTCTATAAGAGGAACAGGCTGCAAATGGATGCGCAGACCTTGGTGCTGAAGTTTGGGGATCAGCGTCCCTTCGGCATGAGAACACAGACCGGCACGCAGGAGGTATTTCGCCGCGCTCACAATCCTGAACGATATGTATTCGTGCACGATCACAAATCCAGATGTCACCAGTGGCTCGAGATATTGACAAGTGTACCCACTATAGCCCCCAGCTTACTAGGTTGTGTGGTACCTGGTGACCTTGCGCAACCGAGGGGCAACAAGGTGGACACATTAGGACAAGCAATCATAAAGATCAGACCGTTGTATTGTGTGCAGTGATTCGTTTTATAATAAACAATGTTATGTCAGAATCCCAACCACTGGACCATTGGGATAAAAGGGCTTGTTAAGTAGCGGGTCAGTGCGCCCATAAACCCCCCAGGACAACGAGCCTGTAACCCTTCCCTAGGATCAATCGGGGATCACCAGTGGACCTTGGACACGTTACATGCATGGTTGTGGTCTTCGCGGTTGATGAGTGCCTGTCTGACGTCTTTGGGTCCACCTGCGGATGACCGCGAAGGCACATTTAGGTGAAGTAACATGCAAGATAGATGGCCATACTGCCATATGCGGCCACAACAGTCGTATGACCCGGCGATCCAACTTTGTTTTATACAAACAATCTTCACGATTAGTGTCGTCAAATGCCTGGGTCGTCTTGGAGTGGCACCCGTCACTGTCGAATAGATATGAGCTCCACAGGTGCCGAGGTTGGGGCTACAATCCCGCCCGGGTTCGTCACCACCATCAACAAATAGTGTACACTGCACGCTCGACGATTCATGGTTAGACGGTAGATATGACCAGGCGAAAATATAACAGTGATGTATTGACGCACATACCTGGCAAAGACCGGAACGGCCATGCAATCGTACTCGAATACGGTAGGGCCACTGCATCCTCCGATTGGCTTCTTGTGTAACTTAGCATACGCATATGCCTTGCTATCGAAAACCACCCATGATTTGCCGTTCAGGCATCTCGTGTATCGTATGTTAAGGAGGCTGGGGGGAGGCGGGGGGTCATAATACGATGAATACGTCCGTGGTGGATAACATGGCGGATTGGCGCATGCCGGCGGGCACTGGACGGTAAGATGCACACTTACATGTTATCAAAATCCATCACCGCATCCCCGAGATAAGACTTGTCGGTGATCGATACGGCGTCGTGCGCAGTCACCTGATAGCCGACGCCCATGTGATTATATGGTGACACGGTCTTGAAAGTCGATGACTCCGGATTGCTCAACATTAATGTGAGAGCGTCGTCCGACGCAGGCTCCTCCTCGTCGCTTACCAGCCGCGATCCACATGCGGAAACGGCTGTCGTAACAGCCTTCCCTTCGGTGGGCGTTTCGTGCGTGAGTTCATGCGAGCGCTGCCTTTTGTTGCCTAGTGCTTCAAGAATGGTGGTGTTATCCCGCCGCGATTCAAGAGGAGACCTACGCGATGCCGCGGCTTCGGGCTTACGGAAGCCACGCATCGTGGCTTGTGCTTTGGTTCAGGGCGGCATTGCTCTTAAGAGGTCGTGAGAGAGGCGGAAACCCTAAGATAACAAAAGAGAACCATGCAAGTGTTGGCCCAACGGATCCTGTTATAGGCAGATGTTGGCATTGTTGTTGGTTTCACGGATTTCCGTAGGCATTTTACGCCCGAAAAAATCCAGAATGTGGATACCACCTTGGCGGAGCGTAATTGGCAGCCGGGCTTTGTGAGAGAACGAGGATGAATGAACTAGCAAGCAGGTGGGTACAAGTAGGAAAACCTAAAAGTGTTGTACCCCATATTGTCTACCCCACTACAGCCTACACAGACTATAGCATATGAGTTTGACACACCCCCATAGGCAAAGTGGGGGAGAAAAAGAGGTCACAAGACCAGTCAAGCAAAGCAAAGCAAGCTCAGAGTGGATCACAACGTCACACACATTCCGAGCACAAGTTCAAGGCCAGAAGGCCAGTTCACATGCAAGATTATATATAAGGTAGACAAGCAAGTGCAGGAATAGACAGATCCCAGTACAAGCAAGGTCAAGAAGTGAGCAAGTGTGGCCAAGTAGCACAAGACCTAGCATCGTACAGAATCGCTGATGATCACAAGGCGGAAGTGCCTTGGTAAAGATATCAGCAGTGTTGGCCTCAGAGGCCACGTAAGCAAGGCGCAGCTGACCACGCTGCTGCAGCTCACGAGCAAGGAAGTAGCGCAGAGCAATGTGCTTCGTTCTGTTGTCTCCCAGTCTGTGCTCCCGACACAAGGCCAGCATGGCCTTGTTGTCTACGTACAGAACTGGAGGAGAACGAGGGCGGCACTCCTAGGTCAGTCAGCAGGTTAGGTGAACCAGCGTAAGCACCTGTGCAGCCATGGCCCCCGCGTAGATCTCAGCCTCACAGCTAGAGCCCGAGAACAGAAGACGAACGGGTAGACCGCCACGAAACAGAGCCGGGAACCAAGCTGAAAGTGTAACCCTGTGACGACCGCTGCGTAGCCTGGTCGTCAGCCCAAGAAGCGTCTGCTTGACCTGTGAGGACCACTGGACGTCGCCTCCAAGCACTAGCCCCATGCCCGACGTACTGCACAAAGTAGCGCAACACCCTCTTCGCTGCAGCCATGTGCTCCGGTCGGTGTCTCCCAGGAGCAACATAGCGTGCCAAGATGCTAAGAGGGTATGCAAGGTCAGGTCGAGTGTAGGTCATCAGGGACATGAGGCAGCCAACAAGCTCTGGGTACGGGCACTCGGCTCTACGGACTCATCCGAATGAGGCAGAGCTCAAGAGCAAGTGGCGAGTAGACAGAGGATGTGGCCTGAGGCGAGGAGTACGTTGAAGTCGAAGAGCTGAAGGACCTGCTTGTAGAATATTATGTTTCTCTAGTCTGCAGTGGGGTACTCTATAGTGAGTTACAACCCTTTTAGGGTTACTATATGTATCCCAATGTTGCTAGTGAACCCCCTCTCTCTTCTTCATTCCTCGTTTCTTCACACTGCTGCACCATGTGTGACTAAGTCAGGGTAATGGTTGCGCTGTGCTCTTGTCCCGGGTGATCTGCAAGCCAAGGTAGCTGCGCAGTTCACCCAGGTCTGTGCACGTGTGTCTCTTCTACAGCTCGGACTTCACGTGGGCGAGCTCCAGCAGTGTCAGCAGTGGCAAAGACCAAGTCGTCGACGTACACGAGGATGTAGAACGGCGGCAAAGAGGTGTCGGTGCGCAGAAACAGCGACGGGTCGGCAAGTAGAAGGAGCTGTGAAGAAAGAACGAGAATGAATTGACTATGAACGAAGTGAGTACAAAATAGGAAACCCTAATTGGGTTGTACCCCCTATGGGATACCCCACTATAGCATACACAAATAAGTAAGCTATAATGTTCTGACACACCCCCATAGGCAAAGTGGGGAAGAACAAGGGGTCACAAGACCAGTCAAAGCAAAGCAAAGCAAAGCTCAGGGTGGATCATCAAAGTCACCCACACATTCCGAGCACAAGTTCAAAGGCCACAAGGCCAGTTCACATGCAAGATCATATATAGAGATATACAAGAGTCAAGCAAGCAAGAACAAGAGTATATATAGGTGAAAGGTACAAGCAAGGTCAAGAAGTGAGCAAGTGAGGCAAGACAGGCACAAGACCTAGCTGCGTGCAGCAACGCTGATGATCACAAGGCGCAAGTGCCTTGGTGAAGACATCAGCAGTGTTGGCCTCGGAGGCCACGTACGCAAGTCGCAACTATCCACGCTGCTGCAGCTCACTGAGCAAGAAAGTAGCGGAGAGCAATGTGCTTTGTCCTGTGCTCCAGTCGCTGCTCTCGACACAAGGCCAGCATGGCCTTGTTGTCTACGTACAGGACTGGAGGAGAACGAGGCGGCTCTCCAAGGTCGGTCAGCAGGTAGGTGAGCCAGCGTAACTCCTGTGCAGCCATAGCCCCGGCGTAGATCTCAGCCTCACAACTGGAGCCGAGAACAGAAGACGAGCGAGTAGCCCGCCACGAAAACAGAGCCGGAACCAAGGCCGAAGGAGTAACCTTGTGACGACCGCTGCGTAGCCTGGTCGTCAGCCCAAGAAGCGTCCGCGTGCCCAGTGAGGACCACTGGACTGCGCCCTCCAAGCACTAGCCCCATGCCCGATGTACTGCACAAGTAGCGCAACACCCTCATTCGCTGCAGCCATGTGCTCTGGTCGGTGTCTCCCAAGAGCAACATAGCGTGCGAGAATGCTGAGAGGGTATGCAAGGTCAGGTCGTGTGCAGGTCATCAGGTACATGAGGCATGCCAACAAAGCTCTGCATACGGGCCACTCGACTTACGGACTCATCCGAAGCAGAGCTGAGAGCGAGTGGCGTAGTAGACAGAGGAGTGCGCCTGAGGCGAGGAGTACGTTGAAGCCGAAGCGCTGAAGGACCTGCTGCACCATGTGTGACTGAGTCAGGGTAATGGTGCGGCGTGCTCTGTCCCGGGTGATCTGCAAGCCAAGGTAGCTGCGCAGTTCACCCAGGTAGTGCACGTGTGTCTCTTCTGCAGCTCGGCCTTCACGTAGGCGAGTCCAGCAGTGTCCGCTGTGGCAAAGACCAAGTCGTCGACGTACACAAGGATGTAGAATGGCGGCAGAGAGGTGTCGGTGCGCAGAAACAGCGACGGGTCGGCAGTAGAAGGAGCAAACCCAAGAGCCGCAAGTGTAGTCCTCAGTGTGTCGTGCCACTCACGTGGTGCCTGGCGGAGACCGTAGACTGGGACGCCGGAGACTCCACTGGGTACCAGGAGGGAAAGACCCAGTGAAGCCAGGTGGGCGACGCAAGCCAGATCTCCTCGTGCAGGCTGCCCTGCAAGAAAGCTGTGCTGAAGTCGAGAGAGTGCAGCTCGTAGTCGCGGGTGAGCAGCAACGTGCAGCAGTACCCGAAGAGTGGTCATCTTCGGGGGTGGGGGAGAAGGTCTGAAAGTAGTCAACTCCCTGCCGCTGACTGAAGCCACGAGCCACGTAACGCGCCTTGAAGACAGGCGGAGAGCCCGGCGGCCGCTTCACCCTGAAGATCCACATGCCACCGACGATGTTCGCACCCAGGAGGGGGAACAGCGTCAACGTAGGTGCCTGTGGACTTCCAGGGAAGCCATCTCTGCATCCATAGCTGCCTGCCACTGAGAGGAGTAGGGACCCTCTATCGCCTCCGCGTAAGAGCGCGGAGTCGGGACGCGTTCCTCCTGGTTACAGTTGTCACTGACCCTTCCTTTGAGTCCACTTGCTGCGTCTCCCTTAGTTGCTGAGCTTGTCGACTTTGCTGCTCGCTGTCGTCTAGACTACGCCGCTAGTCTTGTTGCTGAGTCTGAGTCTGTCTGTCCTCCGTCCGTCGGGGGTGAGTATGCTCTTACAACGGACGTCCTTGAGGACAGGGCAGGAGGAGTTCTAGTGTTTTGCTGCTGCTTTGCCTCATCTCGTGCCCATGCTGATTGCCCCTGAGGGAGACCCGGATGCACCAGACACATCCCGACTCCCTCGATCGTACGCGGAGGCGATCGAGGGTCCTACTCTCTCAACGTGGCAGTACAGCCATGGACGCAAGAGATGGCTTCCTGGAAGTCCACACGCACCTACGTCGACGAAATTCCCCACCTAGGGCGAAACATCGTCAGTGGCATGTGGATTTTCAGGGTGATGAAGCGGCCGCCGGGCTCTCCGCCTGTCTTCAAGGCGTGTTACGTGGCTCGAGGCTTCAGTCAGCGGCAGGGAGTTGACTACTTTCAGCCCTTCTCTCCCACCCCGAAGATGACCACTCTTCGGGTGCTGCTGCACATAGCCGTCTCAGCGCGACTACGAGCTTCATTCTCTTGACTTCAGCACAACTTTCTTGCAGGGCAGCCTGCACGAGGAGATTTGGTTGCGCCGCCTCCCTGGCTTCACTAGGTCGTTTTCCCCTCGTACCCAGTCGAGCCTCCGGCGGCCAGTCTACGGTCTCCGCCAAGCGCCACCGTGAGTGGCACGACACACTGAGGACTACACTTGCGGCTCTTGGGGTTTTGCTCCTTCTACTGCCGACCTGTCGTTGTTTCTGCGCACCGACACCTCTTTACCGCCGTTCTACATCATCGTGTACGTCGACGACTTGGTCTTTGCCACTGCTGACACTGCTGGACTCGCCCACGTGAAGTCTGAGCTGCAAAAGAGACACACGTGCACAGACCTGGGTGAACTGCGTAGCTACCTTGGCTTGTAGATCACCCCGGGACAGAGCACAGCGCACCATTACCCTGACTCAGTCACACATGGTGCAGCAGGTCCTTCAGCGCTTCGACTTCACGTACTCCTCGCCCTCAGGCCACTCCTCTGTCTACTCGCCACTCGCTCTCAGCTCTGCCTTCGGATGAGTCCGTAGAGCCGAGTGGCCCGTATGCAGAGCTTGTTGGGCTGCCTCATGTACCTGATGACCTGCACACGACCTGACCTTGCATACCCTCTAGAATCTTGGCACGCTATGTTGCTCCTGGGAGACACCGACCAGAGCACATGGCTGCAGCGAAGAGGGTGTTTGCACTACTTGTGCAGTACGTCAGGCATGGGGCTAGTGCTTGGGAGGGCGCGTTCAGTGGTCCTCACCGGTCATCAGACGCTTCTTGGGCCGACGACCAAGGCTACGCAGCGGTCGTCACAGGGTTACACCTTCAGTCTTTGTTCCGGCTCTGTTTCGTGGCGGTCCACCCGCTCGTCTTCTGTTCTCGGCTCCAGGTGTGAGGCTGAGATCTACGCGGGGGGCCATGGCTGCACAGGAGCTATGCTGGCTCACATACATGACTGACTGACCTGGGAGAGCCGCCTCGTTCTGCTCCAGTTCTGTACGTAGACAACAAGGCCATGCTGGCCTTGTGTCGGGAGCACAGACTGGAGCACACAACGAAGCACATGCTCTTCGTTACTTCCTTGCTCGTGAGCTGCAGCAGCGCAGTGGTCAGCTGCGCCTTGCTTACGTGGCCTCTCGAGGCCAACACTGCTGATATTTTTACCAAGGCACTTCCGCCTTGTGATCATCAGCGCTGCTCTACGATGCTAGGTCTTGTGCCTACTTGGCCTCACTTGCTCAGTTCTTGACCTTGCTTGTACTGTGATCTATCCTTATACCTGCACTTGCTTGTTTACCTTTATATATGATCTTGCATGTGAACTGGCCTTGTGGCCTTTGAACTTGTGCTCGGAATTGTGTGGTGACGTTGTGATCCACCCTGAGCTTGCTTTGCTTTTCTTGACTAGTCTTGTGACCTCTTGTTCTCCCCCACTCTTTGTCTATGGGGGTGTGTCAAACTTATATGCTATAGTCTGTGTAGGCTGTCGTGGGGTAGACAATATGGGGTACAACACTTTTAGGTTTCCTACTTGTACCCACCTGTTTCCCAGTGCATTCACTTCCTCGTTCTTTCACAGCAAATGGCCAAGTTTCTTGAAGAAGAAACGGTGAGCATAGACTCTAAGACAACATATCAAACTTTCAACATGTGGTGGAAAGTGCATGGTGCACGATTCCCCATTGTTGCAAAGATGGCACACCACTACCTTGCAATTCTGGCAACTTCCGCCGAATCGGAACGCACCTTCTCCACTGCACGTCGTCTCATCACCGGTTTATCTTCATTGCCTTGATCCGTGTCTTGTGTCATGATTTGAGCTCACATGCATGGAGTGGTAGTTTAGTATTTGTTATTGAGGATATGTGCTTGTTGTTGTATGCTATGGCTAAGTGCAACACAAGTGTAGTTGTAACAGGATTGAATGTAGCAAAAAAAAAAAGGCATACCAAGTTTATAAGGTCGTACTCGATACTCGACTCGTATTCGAACGTATTCGGCAACATTTCAACCCGTATTCGACTCGTATAAAACGATGGTATTCGATCAAATACTTTCTCTACAACGCTAAATATTCGTCAAAGTTACTCGTCGACTCGGTTATTCGTTTTTCACCCTTTACCTAAGGCTAATGAGAGGTCATGGCGGGCCCTCACCTTTTGTGGTTGGGTTGTTGTTGAGTGAGTTGTGTTTTGGTACACAAACTCCACTGTGGTCCCTACAAGTTCCCAAACCTGTTTCCTTCACGCACTACTGGCAGGGGGAAACACCTAGTCACTCTTTGCAGTGGTTGGGGCAAAAATTTGTTGCCTCCCATGCCCAACCACAAACCCAGTAACCATCCATCCCTTTGCCTCTACCCCCCCCAAATTGTACCATTGCTTTAATGGGCCTCGTCGCATATGATCTTGGACGTGCCGTTTACAGGACGATTCTCGCAAATCGTGGTGAACATTTCTTTCTGGAAAAACGCTTGGCCAGAACATGTGCCCCCTGAAAACCGTCCATTGGGGGAAAAGCTATGTAGATCAAACATTCCGTTGCCGGGACTTGAACCCGGGTCTCTCGGGTGAGAGCCGAGTATCCTAACCGACTAGACTACAACGGATGTCACCAACTTTTAACACAAAATAATGAACCTATGTGTTTTTCTGCAATTTCTGCCGCTCACGATGACGTTTTTCCCATGCGGTTGTGATGACGTCGTCTCTCTCCGTCGCCCTTGCACGGGGGGCGGTCGCGTGCTCAGCATTCAGTCACATACCGTCCAGGTATCCGTTGCATTGCAGTCGTACACTGCCCAGGTATCCTTCGCATTCTGTCGCAGACCGTGTTGGTCACCGTCGCATTCACTCTGCCCTCACAGTCCAGATAGCAAACGATACCGACGTCGTTACTCTACCACCGGCGTAGGCAATGCAAAGCAGCGTTTTTACGTTACGTAGGGTAACCCTACGGTAGCCAAAGCAACCGCCGGTGGGCCGAGAGTCCCTCTCAGGTGTCTCTCAGACGCCCCTCTCAAGTGACTCTCAGGTTACCCTTCTCAGGTGTCTCTCAGGTGCCCATCTCAGGTGTCCATCTCGGGTGCCCCTTTCAGGTGCCCCACTCAGGTGTTTCTCAGGCGCCCATCTCAGGTGTTTCTCAGGCGCCCCTCTCAGGTATTTTCTCAGGGGGTCCCTCTCAGGCTTTCTCTCAGCTGTTCCTTTCAGCTGCCCCTCTCAGGTGTCCTCTCAGGTTCCCCTCTCAGGTGCCCATCCCAGGTGTCTCTCAATGTCTCTCAGGTGCTTGCTTAGTACGACCATGCGAAAGTCTGGTATGAAGCTCTGAGTGTCTCGGTCATGCATCAAGTGTAATGAAGCATGGGCTCATGCGAACGCGTGTGTGATGGCGTGTGTCTGCATTGAGTGTATGAGTGTATGTATATACATGCATACATATATCTATCTATATACATATTTATATTTATACATCTATGTGTTTAAACCCTGACACTTCGGTCACATATCTATATTGCTTCGTACCCGGTCCATGCGTCAGAACTATGTGGGTGGGCAGCAAGGTGGCCAGGTTCCCCCGGCAGCTGCTCCTGATGTTGCAGGGTGTTTTTGAGAATTCTCAAAAACTCCATGCGTCAGAGCTATGTGGGTGGGTAGCAATGTGGCCGTGTTCCCCCAGCCCGGCAGCTGCTCCTGCTGGGAAGCGAATGGCATGCTTTGCTTACCATCCAAGGCGCCTGGTTTCCCCTTGCCCGTGCTCCGGAGTTCTCGAGAGAAACCCCAATGTATGTGGGCAACAAGGTGGCCGCGTTCCCCCCTGCAGCTGCTCTGCTCCTAATGGCGTGCTCATGGCCCCACAGAAAACCTGAGAGAAACCCTGAGAGAAACCCTAAACCCAGTGTACCCCTGTTGCCTGCCCATGCGGTAGGGCTATGTGGGCCACAAGGCGGCCTGTTCCTCCTGCAGCTGCTCTGATCCGAATGGCGTTCCCATGTTGGAACAGAAAACCCAACAGAGACACCTAAAGAAACTCCAAACCCCAAACCCCTTGTACCCTGTTGGCTATGCGTGAATGCACCAGGGGTATGTGGGCAACAAGGCGGCGGTCTTCCCCCTGCAACTGCTGGGCTTCGATGTGGACCCCATCAATTCTGTGCAACTCTCCAACCACACTGGTGCGCATGTTGGTAACCACACTGGTGCGCATGTTGGTAACCACACTGGTGCGCATGTTGGTAACCACACTGGTGCGCATGTTGGTAACCACACTGGGTGCGCATGTTGGTAACCACACTGGTGCGCATGTTGGTAACCACACTGGTGCGAATGTTTGTAACCAACCACACTGGTGCGCATGTGGTAACCGCACTGGTGCGAATGTTGGTAACCGCACTGGTGCCAATAGTGGTAACGGCACTGGTGCGGGACCGGCGGTTGTCCATCCCATCTGGGTGCGTGCCTGCTGCCCCAGGGTCCATCACTCCTCCCACCTCACCACATGCCCCATGCATCTGTCCCATTCGTGCTGCTGCTGCAGGGTACCCCACGTGGAAGGGGCAGACACTGGACGGAGAGCAGTGCAGGTGTGGTTGGTGACAGAGGGGCACACCTCATGTGACTCGCACCATGCCCCCATGCACCCCACCCATCCCATCCATTCCCCAGGCTACCCCACGTTAGAAGGGGCGGATACTGCCCCACGTGGAAGGGGAGGATACTGCCCCACGTGGAAGGGGCGGATACTGTACGAGGAGCAGCTGTGGGCAGTGAGAGAGGCGCATTGCCTCATGCGGCTCCCAGCATGCCCCATGCATCGCTCCCATCCCGTGCGTGCAGGCTAGCCCACGTGGAAGGGGCAGATACTGAGTGGGGAGCAGCTGTGGGCGCTGATAGAGGGGCTGGGATAGCGCCTGTGCATCCTGAGCCTTGGAAGCAGCAGCCTGGGTGCGTGCTGGGTGCATGCACCCTCAAGCAGCCTGGGTGCGTGCTGGGTGGATGCACCTCCTAGCAGCCTGGGTGCGTGCTGGGGTGCATGCACCCTCTAGCAGCCTGGGTGCGTGCTGGGTGCATGCACCCTCTAGCAGCCTGGGTGCGTGCTGGGTGCATGCACCCTCTAGCAGCCTGGGTGCGTGCTGGGTGCAGCATGCACCCTCTAGCAGCCTGGGTGCGTGCTGGTGCATGCACCGTCTAGCAGCCTGGGTGCGTGCTGGGTGCATGCACCCTCTAGCAGCCTGGCGTGCGTGCTGGGTGCATGCACCCTCTAGCAGCCTGGGTGCGTGCTGGGTGCATGCACCCTCTAGCAGCCTGGGTGCGTGCTGGGTGGATGCACCCTCTAGCAGCCTGGGTGCGTGCTGGGTGCATGCACCCTCTAGCAGCCTGGGTGCGTGCTGGGTGCATGCACCCTCTAGCAGCCTGGGTGCGTGCTGGGTGCATGCACCCTCTAGCAGCCTGGGTGCGTGCTGGGTGCATGCACCCTCTAGCAGCCTGGGTGCGTGCTGGGTGCATGCACCCTCTAGCAGCCTGGGTGCGTGCTGGGTGCATGCACCCTCAAGCAGCCTGGGTGCGTGCTGGGTGCATGCACCCTCTAGCAGCCTGGGTGCGTGCTGGGTGCATGCACCCTCTAGCAGCCTGGGTGCGTGCTGGGTGCATGCACCCTCTAGCAGCCTGGGTGCGTGCTGGGTGCATGCACCCTCTAGCAGCCTGGGTGCGTGCTGGGTGCATGCACCCTCTAGCAGCCTGGGTGCGTGCTGGGTGCATGCACCCTCTAGCAGCCTGGGTGCGTGCTGGGTGCATGCACCCTCAAGCAGCCTGGGTGCGTGCTGGGTGCATGCACCCTCTAGCAGCCTGGGTGCGTGCTGGGTGCATGCACCCTCTAGCATGCCCTGGGTGCGTGCTGGTGCATGCACCCTCTAGCAGCCTGGGTGCGTGCTTGGGTGCATGCAGCCCTCTAGCAGCCTGGGTGCGTGCTGGGTGCATGCACCCTCTAAGCAGCCTGGGTGCGTGCTGGGTGCATGCATGCACCCTCTAGCAGCCTGGGTGCCGTCGCTGGGTGCATGTACCCTCTAGCAGCCTGGGTTCGTGCTGGGTGGCATGCACCCTCTAGCAGCCTGGGTGCGTGCTAGGTGCATGCACCCTCTAGCAGCCTGGGTGCGTGCTGGGTGCATGCACCCTCTAGCAGCCTGGGTGCGTGCTGGGTGCATTGCCACCCTCTAGCAGCCTGGGTGCATGCTGGTGCATGCACCCTCTAGCAGCCTGGGTGCGTGCTGGGTGCATGCATGCCCCCTATCAGCAGGCCTGGTGCGTGCTGGGGCATGCACCCTCTAGCAGCCCTGGGTGCGTGCTGGGTGCATGCAGACACCCTCTAGCAGCCTGGGTGCGTGCTGGGTGCATGCACCCTCTAGCAGCCTGGGTGCTTGCTGGGTGCATGCACCCTCTAGCAGCCTGGTGCGTGCTGGGTGCATGCACCCTCTAGCAGCCTGGGGTGTGTGCTGGGTGCATGCACCCTCTAGCAGCACTGGTGTGTGCTGGGTGCATGCACCCTCTAGCTAGCCTGGGTGCGTGCTGGGTGCATGCACCCTCTATGCAGCCTGGGGTGTGCTGGGTGCATGCACCCTCTAGCAGCCTGGGTGCGTGCTGGGTGCATGCACCCTCTAGCAGCCTGGGTGCGTGCTGGGTGCATGCACCCTCTAGCAGCCTGGGTGCGTGCTGGGTGCATGCACCCTCTAGCAGCCTGGGTGCCGTGCTGGGTGCATGCACCCTCTAGCAGCCTGGGTGCGTGCTGGGTGCATGCACCCTCTAGCAGCCTGGGTGCGTGCTGGGTGCATGCACCCTCTAGCAGCCTGGGTGCGGTGCCTAGGGGTGCATGCACCCTCTAGCAGCCTGGGTGCGTGCTGGGTGCATGCACCCTCTAGCAGCCTGGGTGCGTGCTGGGTGCATGCACCCTCTAGCAGCCTGGGTGCGTGCTGGGTGCATGCACCCTCTAGCAGCCTGGGTGTGTGCTGGGTGCATGCACCCTCTAGCAGCCTGGGTGCGTGCTGGGTGCATGCACCCTCTAGCAGCCTGGGTGTGTGCTGGGTGCATGCACCCTCTAGCAGCCTGGGTGTGTGCTGGGTGCATGCACCCTCTAGCAGCCTGGGTGCGTGCTGGGTGCATGCACCCTCTAGCAGCCTGGGTGCGTGCTGGGTGCATGCACCCTCTAGCAGCCTGGGTGCGTGCTGGGTGCATGCACCCTCTAGCAGCCTGGGTGCGTGCTGGGTGCATGCACCCTCTAGCAGCCTGGGTGCGTGCTGGGTGCATGCACCCTCTAGCAGCCTGGGTGCGTGCTGGGTGCATGCACCCTCTAGCAGCCTGGGTGCGTGCTGGGTGCATGCACCCTCTAGCAGCCTGGGTGCGTGCTGGGTGCATGCACCCTCTAGCAGCCTGGGTGCGTGCTGGGTGCATGCACCCTCTAGCAGCCTGGGTGCGTGCTGGGTGCATGCACCCTCTAGCAGCCTGGGTGTGTGCTGGGTGCATGCACCCTCTAGCAGCCTGGGTGCGTGCTGGGTGCATGCACCCTCTAGCAGCCTGGGTGTGTGCTGGGTGCATGCACCCTCTAGCAGCCTGGGTGTGTGCTGGGTGCATGCACCCTCTAGCAGCCTGGGTGCGTGCTGGGTGCATGCACCCTCTAGCAGCCTGGGTGTGTGCTGGGTGCATGCACCCTCTAGCAGCCTGGGTGTGTGCTGGGTGCATGCACCCTCTAGCAGCCTGGGTGTGTGCTGGGTGCATGCACCCTCTAGCAGCCTGGGTGCGTGCTGGGTGCATGCACCCTCTAGCAGCCTGGGTGCGTGCTGGGTGCATGCACCCTCTAGCAGCCTGGGTGTGCTGGGTGCATGCACCCTCTAGCAGCCTGGGTGCGTGCTGGGTGCATGCACCCTCTAGCAGCCTGGGTGTGTGCTGGGTGCATGCACCCTCTAGCAGCCTGGGTGTGTGCTGGGTGCATGCACCCTCTAGCAGCCTGGGTGCCCATGTGCAGTGGGTGTGTGCCATGCATGCGTGGGTGTTGCTGGCATACCCTCAGCGTGGGTGTGGCGGATACCCTGGCAGCCTGGGTGCGGGGGTGCAGAGCAGCTGGGTGGTGCGCATGCACCCTAGCAGGGGTGCGTGCTGATGGCAGCGGGTGCCTGGGTGCATGCACGCAGCCTGGGTGCAGATCCAGCCTGGGTGTGTGCTGGGTGCAGAGGCGGGTGTGTGCTGGGTGCAGAGACCTGGGTATGCACCTCTATGCGGGTGCATGCACCCTCTAGCAGCCTGGGTGCCTGGGTGCATGCACCCTGGCCCGTGCTGCTGCAGGGCCCAGACGCGCGTGCTGCTGAGTCCCATCACCAGACGCCCCAGTGCAGTTACCAACATGCGTGCTGTTGCAGGCTACCCCACGTGGAAGGGGCGGATTACTGGATGGGGAGGTGGAGCAGAGCAGCTGTGGGCGCTGATAGAGGGGTGAGCGAGGCGCGTGCCTGGCTTGGCACGACGGGGCAGATCCTGGTAGGAGAGCAGAGGCGGTGTGGGCAGTTGAGAGACGGGTACACCTCATGCGAATCCCACCACGTGCCGATGCATCCATGGCCCATGCACCATGGCCCATGCGCCATGACCATGCATCCCATCCCATTCTCCAGGCTACCCCACGTGGAAGGGCAGATTCTGGATGGAGAGCAGCTGTGGCGCTGATATAGGGCCTGGAGGCCAATGGGCTGCTCTTCTACACGCACCTGCTCACCGGTGTGTGCCCCTGGTGTGCATGCTTGTCACCGTATGGTGGCACTGTGTGTGTGGTGGTCCTGCTGCATGTGTGCACACCTGCACTCATAAAAGGGCCTGGAGGCCAATGGGCTTGCTCTTCTACACCGCCACTGCTCACCGGTGTGTGCACTTGTTGGTGGCGTGTGTGATGAAAGGAGCATGCATGTTGAGTCGACTCAAAGAAGCTCAGATCGGTCAACCCCAAGCTGACACTGACGCACCTCATCCCAACCACTCACACCTCAATCTCGGTTGCATAATCAACCTCCCTCTTCTCTCCCCTCCCATCAGGCTACATCGGGTCGCTCTCCTTCCTGAAAACTGTTCTACGGGTTGTGGAGAAGCTAAGATCAGTCAACCCCAACCTAATATATGGTACTTTCTGGGTTTACCCCAAGCTGATAATGGACGGTTATTTCTTAGTTCACCCTGACTCTAGATACAATACTCCATGGGTTAGCCTTAGCCTGATATATGGTACTTTATGGGGTAACCCCCATTCTGATATACGGTACTTTATGGGGTAACCCCCATTCTGATACATGGTACTGTATTGAGTAACCCCCATTCTGATATATGGTACTTTATAGGGTAAACCCCAATTCTCATAAATGGTATTTTATGGGGTAACCCCCATCCTGATAAACGGTACTTTATGGGGTAACCCCCATTCTGATACATGGTACTGTATGGTATGGAGTAAACCCCATTCTGATATATGGTACTTTATGGGGTAATCCCCATGCTGATACATGGTAATTTATGGAGTAACCCTCATTCTGATATATGGTATTTTATGGGTAACCCCCATTCTGATACATGGTACTTTATGGGGTAACCCGATTCTCATATCTGGTACTTTATGGGGTAACCCCCATTCTGATACATGGTACTTTATGGTCCTCCTGTCCCCATCTGTCTCGTCTTTACCCCCGGTCCTCTCCTGTCCCCAGTTCTTTACACTTTCTCCTTATTCTTCTTGCGTCTCACCTCTCTTGGTGTGTTTTGAAGTGCAATCTTGGTGTGATGTGATCCCGCAATCTTCTCCTCCCTATGTGCGGTCTAGTCATGCTGCTGCTGCTTTTCTCGCATCTACCCATCTCTCTGCCCGTCCTCCGCTTGTCTCACATCCCCACATCGATCCGAATGGGCTTGTCTCACAAAGGCTGCCTCCATCCGCATCGCTGCTTTCCCTTTCCATCTCTCTCCATACCACCTCTCTTCTCCTCACCGTAATGGACCTCTCAAAGGCCTGCTGCCTGCTCCCCTCTCTCCCCCTCACCCATTCTCTGCCTCCCATCCCTCTCCAGTTTCCTTCCTCGCCCCAATCTCTCTCCCCCAATGTCTCCTCCCCATCCCTTCTCTCCCCGTCACAGTGTGCGATCCAGTGATGGGGGACGACGGTCGTCTCTACATTCGCCCCGAGCTCGTCCCCATCTACCGCCACCAGGTGCCACCTCCTCTTGCCGTAAGCGTGTTCTGCGAGGTCTCACAAAACCGCCAGCAGGTGCCACTCACACCTGTTCCTTTGAGAGCCACATCCACGTGTTCACATCCACGTGTTCACATCCACGTGTCACATCCACGTGTTCACATCCACGTGTGAACATCCACGGGCCACCTCTCGCTGTATTGTGTTCTGTCTGAAAGGAACCGACAGCAGGTGTCGTGTCGTGACATCCACGCCTGCCCTATTCATGCCTTGAAAGTGCTATGCAAATTCTCAGAAACGCCTGCAGTTGCCATCTGTCTCACAGAACTGACACCAGGTGCCATGCCATTCGCACCAGCCCTGTTCATGCTGTGAGTTTGATTTGAGAATACAAAAAAAAAAAAACCAACGCATCAAGTGCCCTTGACACCTGCCCTGCACACCTGCCCTACACACCTGCCCTCTATGCGTCTCTCTGTGATGAATCTAACTACCCTATTGTTGGGTGTGCGCCTTCCCTCAACGCGGCATCCATCTAGCAGCTGACAGACAGACAACCAATCTCTCAACATCTGTGTATCGTTCTGGGCTCTCATCCCCGTTGCTCAGTGCGTGCTGCTGTGCTGCATGGCAGGTGGTCCCAGTGGCGACGCTCATCACGCCAAACCAATTCGAAGCAGAGCAGCTCACAGGCCTCAGGTGAATGGCTCGGTACTCTACCAGGTTCCTACTTAGCAACTTGTTCTTTGCATTATGTTGCGCTCAGGTTTGAAGTAGATTGGTGCGATGAGAGTCTCTCAACTTCTTTGAGGTACAGCAAATCACAGGCCTCACAACCCTGAGCAGGTCTTAACTCAAAGGCTTCAGGTGAATTGATATGCTCTTGCTACCTGCTCCTCTCCTCGCCTTGTTCTCCTTACCTTGCTGAGAATCATAAATGTCGATATTGATGACTCAAAAAGCATATCTGATCCGGCATTTGTTTTGCCGTGCTGTGCTGTGCCGTGCCGTGCCGTGCCGTGCCGTGCCGTGCCGTGCCGTGCCGTGCCGTGCCGTGCCGTGCCGTGCCGTGCCGTGCTGTGCTGTGCTGTGCTGTGCTGTGACCTGCATCCAATCACAGACTTCAATCTATAGGTGCCACAACACTCGCCCACTCACTAACCAAACTCCCTGCACACGTGGCGTTTAGGCATTGCCAGTCCAAACTCACTGCTTCCCTCCCCCCCTCCCTCCCAGCGGCCAAACTAAGCAGCTGCCATCACTGCATGAGACATGCTGCATGTTGCAGGGCCCAGGAAGGTGAATGTGCATGGCATTGCCACAGGGGGGAGCGAATGTAGAATTGCTGATACTGGCACTGTTGAGGCGCCTCAAAAGTCTGATACAAGCACTGCATGTGCACCCCTTCTCCCCTCCATTTCCATCCTCCCCTGCCTCCTTCCCTCCCTCGCAGCATCCGGACTCAAGCAGACGCCATCACTGCATGTGACATGCTGCACGCAGCAGGGCCCAGAAAGGTATGGATGGCTACAGGGGAGGAAGAACAGTGGGTAGGTAGGTGAGGGGGACTTTGAGACGTCTCAAAAGTCGTCTACTTACACACGTAGGTAGGTGAGGGGGACTTTCTGGAATCTCTTTAGTGGTTCGAACAAACGTGTGGCAGTGGATTAGCATGATGCTTGATGCTGCAGGGCTTAGAAAGGTATGCGTGGCTACAGGGGAGGAAGGACAGTGGTCTAGGGAGTTTCGGGGATTTCAAAAGTGTTTGAATGCAAGTATGATAACGGTGTGGATGGGTATGATGTTGCCCGCTGTATGGCCCAGAAAGGTATCGCATTGAGTCGGTTCAGATCATCTAAGCTTATTAGGGGGGTGGGGTTGGGGGAAGGAGGAGGGGGAGGGGGGAAGGGGGGGAGGGGAGAGGGAGAGAAAAGACAGCCCTGCTGAGGATGGCATGGTGGGCGTGCTGACGTCATGGTTTGCTTGCTGGCGTTCCGTTGCTGCTGCGAGAGGGGAAGGACAATCCACGAGTTTTCCGGCCGAATTGATTTACCAGCAACGGCTGAATTGATTTACCCAGTAACAACTCCTCACGATCCATGAGGTGGTGATGGTAAGGCATGCGGATGAAGGAGCAGGAGGGTGAAGAAACGCCTCTTTCAACTCCTCTCAACCACTGTCACACACCCCACAACACTCCTATCAGGTGATGGCCGGCTGCTGGTGGTGGAGGGGTGATGTCCCACGAAGCACTCTTGCCTCTCTAGAACCTGCTCAACCCCTTTCAACCTCTTTCAATCACATTGATTTATTGTGGACACCACACAACAAGCTGATCAGGTGGTGCTCACGAGCACTGAGGTAAATGGCCAGCTGGTGGTGGTGGAGGGGAGTGTGCCTTGATAAGTAGCGCATCTCTCAAGCCCACTCCACTGCATTCAACCACTTTCAACCGCTCTCATCTACTGGTGATCATTAGCAACGCTCCCAGCTGGTGATGGCGGAGGGGATTGGTTTTGCATGGGCAAGGCCCTCTCTTAAACCTGCTCCATCCCTTTCAACCGCTTTCAACCACTCCGTTCAGGTGGTGATCACAAGCATGGAGGTGGATGGGCGGCTGCTGGTAGTGGGGAGTGACGCCAGCAGCCCTGCTGGAGAGGAGGTGAGTGAGGTGAGGCGGCATGAGGGTATCTGTCTGGTGGTGGAGGTGTGCTTTGAGTCACCAGGTGTCCAACCACTCAATCACATCTGCTTGGCGTGACGCCAGCAGCCATGCTGCAGAGCAGGTGAGTGAGAAGGCATGGGGAGCTGGTGGTAGGTGAGAGGAAGTGAGTGAGAGGAAATGAGTGAGAGGCAGTGAGTGAGAGGAAATGAGTGAGAGGAAGTGAGTGAGAGGAAATGAGTGAGAGGAAGTGAGTGAGAGGAAATGAGTGAGAGGAAGTGAGTGAGAGGAAATGAGTGAGAGGAAGTGAGTGAGAGGAAATGAGTGAGAGGAGGTGAGTGAGAGGAAATGAGTGAGAGGAGGTGAGTGAGAGGAAATGAGTGAGAGGAGGTGAGTGAGAGGAAGAGGAGTGTCTTTCTGGTAGTTGGGGTGCGTTTCGAGTCGACTCAGAGAAGTGGTGCCAGCAGCCCTGCTGCAGAGCAGGAGAGAGATATGGGCCCCCTTGTCTTGACAATGGAAAGCAGATATCTGTTTTGCTTCAATTTCTTTCTATCACTCATTATCCTCTTTGTTTGCACCAGCCATTGCCACCCTCACATACACTACCCTATCTTACTCCCTTTCCAATTCTGACATTCTGGCCGGCATTTGAACAAACACTCTATTCAGGAGGGCTCTGAACAGCGTTCTTTGCAGCGGTTCTGCATCGCAGTGCCCAAGATACCACACTACTTTACTGTATGGCGCTCCATTAATAGCTTTGAAGCAGCACGTGGCACATGGTTATGCAATCTGTCTCACACTTTCTGTGCCTCTTACCATGTCCCGTGTCCCACACAGCACCAGCTTTACAACATCACATATCACCAGCCTTACAACATCACATATCACCAGCCTTACATCATCACATATCACCAGCCTTACATCATCACACATCACCAGCCTTACAACATCACATATCACCAGCCTTACATCATCACATATCACCAGCCTTACATCATCACATATCACCAGCCTTACATCATCACATATCACCAGCCTTACATCATCACATATCACCAGCCTTACATCATCACACATCACGCATCACCAGCCTCACAACATGCCATTTTCACATGGATTTCGACGTGCTACTCCGCATGCCATTGCATATACCACACCAAATGCCATCTGACATACCATATCACATGCCATTGCATATACCACACCACATGCCATTTGACATACTACCATGTCACATGCCTGACATATCCCATCCAACGTACCATACCACATGCCATCCCACGTGAACGGCACACGTGCAGGGAACGGGAGATTTGATGACCGCATTGCTGCTTGGATGGTCACATGTGAGTGGGGCAGTGGCATGTGAGTGGGGCAGTGGCATGGCAGGAGTCTCATTGCATCGCAATCCTTCATCAGTCTTCTGGTGACATCTCTCAGCTCTGTTACACAGCACTCTGGTGCTTACATAGCACTCTGATGCTTACATAGCACTCTACTGCTTACACAGCACTCTGCTGCTTACACAGCACTCTGCTGCTTACATAGCACTCTGCTGCTTACACAGCACTCTGCTGCTTACATAGCACTCTGCTGCTTACACAGCACTCTGCTGCTTACACAGCACTCTGCTGCTTACATAGCACTCTGCTGCTCACATAGCACTCTGCTGCTTACATAGCACTCTGCTGCTCACATAGCACTCTGCTGCTTACATAGCACTCTGCTGCTGACATAGCACTCTGCTGCTTACACAGCACTCTGCTGCTTACATAGCACTCTGCTGCTTACAGAGCACTCTGCTGCTTACATAGCACTCTGCTGCTTACACAGCACTCTGCTGCTTACACAGCACTCTGCTGCTTACACAGCACTCTGCTGCTTACATAGCACTCTGCTGCTTACACAGCACTCTGCTGCTTACATAGCACTCTGCTGCTTACACAGCACTCTGCTGCTTACAGAGCACTCTGCTGCTCACATAGCACTCTGCTGCTTACATAGCACTCTGCTGCTTACATAGCACTCTGCTGCTTGCATAGCACTCTGCTGCTTACATAGCACTCTGCTGCTTACATAGCACTCTGCTGCTTACACAGCACTCTGCTGCTTACACAGCACTCTGCTGCTTACATAGCACTCTGCTGCTTACATAGCACTCTGCTGCTTACATAGCACTCTGCTGCTTACATAGCACTCTGCTGCTTACACAGCACTCTGCTGCTTACATAGCACTCTGCTGCTTACAGAGCACTCTGCTGCTTACACAGCACTCTGCTGCTTACATAGCACTCTGCTGCTTACATAGCACTCTGCTGCTTACATAGCACTCTGCTGCTTACATAGCACTCTGCTGCTTACATAGCACTCTGCTGCTTACATATCACTCTGCTGCTTACACAGCACTCTGCTGCTTACAGAGCACTCTGCTGCTCACATAGCACTCTGCTGCTTACATAGCACTCTGCTGCTTACATAGCACTCTGCTGCTTACATAGCACTCTGCTGCTTACATCGCCCTCTACTAGTTAAAACCCACTCTGCTGTTCATTCTTCCTGCTCTACCCATCCCATCCTCTCCCTCCCTCTCTCCCTCCCTCCCTCCCTCCCTCCCTCCCTCCCTCCTCCCTTCCTCCCTCCTTCAACAGAAGTATCCGCACGACTTGGCTAGAGCAGCGGAACTAGCAGTGGCATCTCTGCAGGTGAGCAGCTGCTGTTGCGCCTAGTGCCACTGCTTGATGCTGCTCTGCTGTGGTTTTTACACTCGTTTAGCTGTTCTGTTGCAGCAGCAGAGGTGGCAGTGGCATTGTTACAGGAGGTGAGCACCTGCTGCTGGTCCTGATGCAATTGGGTGTTGCCGCTGGGCTGTCCATGGCTTTGAGGCAAGCTATATCAGCAGAGTTGGCATTGGCAACCCGTGGCATTGCAACCTTCCTGACCTGATTGCTCCTCTCCTCCCATTCTTTCTCCCTACAGGCTGTGCTCGCACGAACCCTGCAGCACCACTCTCCACCTCCGGACGGCACCGTTTCCTCTCTCACTCCCCCCACCCCCAAGCGCCTGGAGCTCTGCCTCATTCAGAGCCGCGATAACTTCAGCTTCTCCTCTCCCCCTCTCCCTCCCTGCAGGCTGTGCTCGCACGAACCTTGCAGCACCGCTCTCCACCTCTGGACGGCACCGAGTCCTCTCCCACTCCCCCCACTCCCAAGCGCCTGGAGCTCTGCCTCGTTCAGAGCCGTGACGACATTATAAGCCCGCCTGTTGTGTTACGTGCACAAGCGGTTGAAAGCGGTGTAGATGGTTTAGATGGATTGCAAGATGGTGAAAGTGCCTTGGTGAGCGGTGACAGTGTAGGGGTGCTGCAGGATAAGGGAGTTGATGCTCAGCTGACAACTGAGAGCTGAGTTGAATGTACTGTAAAAAGAGAACGCTCAACTGTTTTTGGCCGGGTGAGGCACTTTCCTGAGCACAATTAACACCAAGAAAAGGACCAGGCGGAAATCGAACCAACAAGGTGTTGCACATCAGTATTTGAATGAGAGAGTTATGCTATTGGTCCTGTGTTGAATGGAATTTGTTGTGTATTATTGTATTTGACAACGACGTGATTTTCAAGGTTGGACGTACTGAGCTCTCTTGTCAAGCATCATGGAGGACGCAGAGCCGCTGCGCGCGCTCTCCGCCCACATCGCGTAAAAACGGACCAGGCGGGTATCGCCCTTACTTAGTTTCCCTCAGCTTTCCGCTCTATCGCCGCGTTCCTTCCGTCCCTAGTCCCTCCCCGCGCTGCGCGCGCTCTCCGTCCACAGCGCGTGACGCGGACCGTACTTGTCTCCCGCCGAGTAGCCATGCAGGACGCAGAGGCGCGCCGCTCTCGCCTGCGCAGCATGCGCGAGTCCGCGGCGAAGCAGCAGGCGGCGTCCCCCGGCGCGCCCACGCCTTCCACCGCCATCTCCGCACTCCCCTCCCCCGACTTCTCTCCGCCGCTTATCCGCACGCATCCGCGCGTGCGCCATCCGGGGAAGGCGGACCTGGGGGAGGTAGATCTGCTAGACGGCCAGCAGGAGCAGCCACCACAGGCTCGGGGAATTTCTCACAGGCCTCATGTAAATATCTTCAAAGCTCTAGCGTGTTTGTCTTAAAGCCCTATCATTCTCAGCTTCCGAGGTACCTGATCTACCCTACTCCCCAGCACCACGAGTGTCAAGTGCTGCCGTTTATGACTCCCAAGGGGCCGGGCAGGGGGCAGGGCAAGGGGTAGGGCAAGGGGCAGGGCAAGGGACAGGGCAAGGGGGAGAGCAAGGGGGAGAACAAGGGGCAGAGGGGTCAGGGGAGGGGAGACCGGCCAGCGTGGACAGACAGTCAGTGAGGCAAGCGGTTGCGAGGGAGGGAGCCGTGCAAGAGGAAGTTTTTGACAATCTTTCCATGGTGCAGGTGAGCGGGGCGAAGAGAGAGAGAAGACAGGGGGGGGGGGTCTATTGTGCAGGTGTTTGTGAGAGGGGCGATTGAGAGGCGTCCGCACAAGAGGGAGTCGGCGACGTTCCTTACAAGGAGTAGGTGGGAAAGAAGCATATGAGATATGTGACAAACATCCGCTCTTGCCTGACAAGGACCTCATGTTAGGGAGCTGGTGGCGTTCATTACCAGGACCGTAATGAAGCATCTGAGATATGTGACAAACATCCGCTCTTGTGCTACTTAGGACCGTACTTCAAGGACCTTATATTTCTTCATTTGCTTACGATCCCTCTTGTTTCTTCCCGCCCCATATTTCTTCATTTTCCACCCTCTGCTTACACTTCCTCTATTGCTCGCCAACGCTCACATTCCATCCAGTTGTTCTCGAATCCACACCCAGGCATTCATGACTGCATCTCTCGCTTTCCCTCGTTTCTCCCCTCTTCTCACCCTTGCATTTCTCGCAACCCTCCCCCATTCTCTCCTATTTCTCTGCTCTTTCCCCCATCCTCCCCTCTCCCATTCTGCCTCTGCCCCAACCCAGCCACTCATCGCCGCCGCCCACAGTGCCGGGAGCAGAGGGGCCGCAGTGAGCGAGGATTCAGGAGGAGCGGTTACCACGAACGTGGAGGAGAGGCATGCACACAGGGGACGAGGGGGAGGTGGGGCGGGGAGAGCAGGAAGAACACAGGTGGGGAGGGGGGACACAGGGGGGTTGCTGGTGGGGACGGCGCCTCAGTGGCCGGTCGGCCGGAGGGCAAGCGAAGCAGAGGTGAGGGCACGACTGCAGGGAAGGATCAATAGTCTGCTTTGCAGTGTCGGCCCTGACAGGCAGGAGCATACCACCCGACAGATCAACGAGGTGGTTTACCAGCTCGCGATCCAAGACCCCACTGCAAAAGAGCTCTCCGTCTCTACCGTCTCCCTCGGTGGCCCCTCCCTCGCCTACTACCTCCATCTCGCTCCCCAGTGCTACCCGGACTTGCTACAGTGCGTCACCAGCCTTGACCTACGTAATCTCCAGCCCGTCTCGACACAGGCCGTGAGACAGCTTCTCCGCCTGCCCTCCCTCACAGCCCTTCACTTCCACGAAACTCCGATCCGTTCAGACGCCCTGCCGCTCTTCCAGTGCATGTCTCGGCTCCGGCGGCTTGTCATAGCATGTGCTAACCCCTCCGACGTTCTCAATCTATCTGCCAGGCGGCAAGCCAAATCACCCACTCCGTCTGATCCCATCAGCAAACCCCAGCCGTTTCAGAGCTTGAGGGAGCTACATGTGAGTCGGGTGACAGACTCTATTCTGCAGCAGGTGGGGGTGCTCACAAGCCTTGAGCTCCTTTCTTGCACGTACAGCAAGGAGGTGACTTGTAGGGGATGGATTCACCTAAGGGGAATGCTGAACCTGAAGAGGCTGCAGCTGGTACCAACAATCCTTATAAAAAAATTCGGATCCAATGACCACCACAGCGACTACTACCGCATGTGCACCCGCCTTGGGCTGAAGCTAAGCTTCCCCGAATACCGCCTGCCAAAGATCATCCAAACCTTCCAAAGGCCTCCCAAAAAAGGGGCTGCTGCCTCCGCAAGTGAAGACCCCAGCAACCGCATTGATGGGAGCATATGGGAGGTGGTGGGTGCCCTGCCAGGCCTGCAGCACCTGGAGCTGCACGCACCAGAGCCCAGCACCACAGCCCTGCGATCCCTCTCCACCATCACGCACCTCACAACCCTCCACATCACCGGCACAGCACTTGATGACTCTGACTTGTTGTGCTTGTTTGGGTTCTCAATGCTCACAGACGTCAGCCTGGCTGCCTGGACGTTCGCAGCAGACCATGCTGTGAGGACGGTGATTCAAGGCATGACGCACCTGAAATCGCTGGACCTGTCGGGAACGGCCATCAGCCAAGGCGCTGCGGTGCATCTGCAAGCGCTAGAGCGGCTGGAGCGGTTGAAGCTGCAGCAGTGCATCGGCATGAGCAAGCTGTTTGTGGAGCATCTGAGCCAGGTTCCTGCGCTGAGGGAGTTGGATCTTGGCTGCAACAACATGCAGCATGCTTGGCTGCTGCCGGTTCTGGAAGGGAAGAAGGTGACTCGGCTAGGGGTAAGGGGCTGTGGGTTTGTTGCAAGAACATTGAAAGGGCTTCAGCGTGATTGGATTGAGATTGACTTGAGATCAAATGAGTGACCATGGGAGGGATGAGTCGTACGGTATGAGTTATAGAGTGCTTTGGCAAGTGGTGCAAAACCATCCTGCATGTAATTGGGTTAGAATTGTGAAGTAAGACTGTGAGACCACCACGTTGAATGTGCAGCACACATACTGGTAGCTATGGTGTTTCATCAGATGTTAGTTAACAATAGCCGTTGGAATGGAATCTTCAGACCCTTCCATTTGAAAAATTGATCCACTCTTATCACACAAAACAAAACTATATGTATGTGAGCTCAGCAACAGGTAGTCATATGGTACTAGTGTTCCATATGAAAGCCCATGTGCTAAAACAGCAGCATTCCTGCTTGCCGATCGCACTTTAGCGGCAAGCCCCAATGCCCCATGCGAGTCACCCTTTAGTAGCCCACGGACGCCCAGCCATACTTCTGCAGCTCCACACGCAGTGCCTGCCGATGCGAGTGAGACATGGGAGAGGGATGGGAGGGGGGCAGGGAGAGATGGGAAAGGGGCGGTGAGAGATGGTGGAGAGGTAGGGAACAGAGAATGGTATTGGACGCTTGGGGTTGGAGAGGCAAGAACGAGTCGGGACCAATGAAGCCCGCCCTGTAGCAGCAGGTTGGCATCCAGGTCGCTCTCCCCCAGCCAGGGTGCACTGCGGTACTCCACCAGGGAGCAGCACAGAGGGAATCACAACTCCCTGACCTATCCACCCCATTCTCCCCACCCACAACCAGCCCCCCCATCTCTTCCCCCCCTCCTCCCCCTCACCATCGCACCTTGATGCGCTTGTGGTTAGAATCCGGTCGCTCTCCCCCAGCTGCAACGCACTCCACCAGGGAATGGCTGCCTGGGGGAAACCAGAACCGCCATCCAAGCCCACCCGTTCACTTCCAGGCAGCCCACGCATCCCCCATCCACCTCCCAACCACGACCAACCCCCTCCTCCTCCCTCCCATCCCCACACCACGCACCTTGATGCGCTTGCGGTTGGCATCCAGGTCACTCTCCCCCAGCCAGGAGAACCGGAATCCCAGCCTCAACCGTCCATTCACCTTCCATCACAACCCA